CAATGTCATGGGTACTAAATGTACTAAGTCTAAAGCATCTATTGTATTTGCATTCATTAAATTGATGTTGGAGCCACCATCTACTTACACTTTAGAAATCATAATGTCATCTATCGATACGTCAATGGTTGGCGCACCTAAATCAGGGTTCAAATTGACCTCAAGAACTTCTTTGTTCCATTGTCTACGTCATGTGAACAATAAATTTAATATAGAACGATACTCCGGTGCGACTGCTAGAAGTTGCTTTATCAAAATAGAAGGTTGAATAGCACCCAAATCTTTCAAAATATCATAAGGCTCCATGTTTAAAGAAATTTCCAATGCCCTCTTTCTTTTCATTTGTTTCAGCTTTACTCCTTGAGATAATATATTTTTCTTTCCTAAACTCGGACTTTGAACAGCTGGAAGAACTTTCTCGAAATGTCCATCTACAAAAAGATCTTTTAATAAGTAAGATGTCTCTTAGAACTACACAAAGGACAGAACTGGTTTAGACTGAGCCAAAAACTTGGTGGTTGGGACCTTATTGATTTGCATAGATGAGCCAAGTTTCATCATTGATAAGATGCCCAGAACTAGATTTGATGTTCCCATAATTGAATTAAATTGGTCTTTTGCAATAAATTCATCCAAATGTTGAATTGGTCTTTTTTCCTTTTGCCTCCTAGTAAGTACTGCTTGGACACATTCCACTCAATTTATCGAGGAACTTGGAGACCTCAATTATTATCCTCGATCTTACTTTGTAGCTGGATCTGTTGATCATGGTTGTTGAAATTGAATAGAGCATTACACTACTCATATGTATGCTCCAAATGTTTACAATTGCCACAAACTAAAGCATAGTCATCACTAACTCTTGGATTAGGACATTCACTAGCATAATGATCAATCTGCTTGCAACAATAACAACAAAGTGGTCTTCTTCCACCTCCATGAGGCATATTGGGTGTCTCCACCGATATATACTAACTATGTCTATTCCAAGTTGAATTGGTAAATGATCTTGGTTGTCCTGTTGATATGGAGGTAATTGAAATCGATTGCGGTGATGGAGAATATTGCTGATATCTTGGTTGTTCCTTCACATTGTTATGGAAATTTGATACAAAACTCGAGTTATAATTTGGACCTTGAAAGTTATTAAAGGCTTGATTTTGCCTATTTGAACGATTTGTGTTCCAGTCAAATATATTTCCCATTTGAACTTGATTGATATTCCACTGAGAGGGTGAGATCATGGTCTCGTTACTAAACTATTGTTGTATTTTTTAATTTCAACAATTAGCTCCCAAATGGTTTCTTCTATAGAATGTACATTGCACAATCATTTGTGGAGGAGAGGGGCATTTTGTCACCAAATGATCTTGGCCCTTACAATTACTGTACCATATATTGGGCCTAGTATTAGTAGGTTTTTACCTTATTTGTTTATTCTTCGTCATATTGACTACTATTTCCTCCATTTTCTTAGTCAAATTTAACAAGGTTTCGTTAGAATCCTTCTGAGCTGATACTATTAGCAACTCTATTATAGACAATGATTGCTGTTGATAAGAGAAGTATGGGGACTACGACATAGCTATGTTTGGTGGTATAGCTTGCAATGGGGTGACATTAACTGTTCTATGTGTATTAATACTTGAATTGGTACTTGTATCAAACACTTTGGGATAACTAACCACTGCTCCATTCCATGCTGGGATTTGATAATTTCCTTGAACTAGAATCATAGTAGCTCTTGTAGTTAAAAATTGGTCATAATGGCATTCTTCCCAAACCTTGGCTCGATTAAGAGATGCAGTTACCATATTTGGTTGAGTCTCTTTTACAAACATTTTTAGTTCGGGTATGTACAATCCGTTGATTAATATGGACAATACAAAAGCCTCTTGCATTTGATGATTCACCCACTTGTGGAGTATATCTGCCACATGGCCATAGTATGATTCTATTGCCTCTCCTAGACTCATTTTGCTATTCATTAATCTTTCTCAAAATCGATTCTCAAAACTAATTGGCCAAAAATGGATTCAAAATGCATTCTTCAATGCCTTCTAATTAGAAAATTGATCCATAAGTTTGCAGTTATACCATTCAAACGTCGTGTCTTTTAAGATTGTTGATAGCTATTGCAACCAAATATCTTCAGTTTTATCATTATTGGTTACACATGTCGTTAAGAACTAAGACAAGTGTTGATCTTGATCTACATCTAGAAAGCCTCTAAAAGTAGATAATGGAGCCATGCTAATTATGTGATCGCCCACGTCTCCCATTTGGAGTGCTATTGGAACTGCTTGACCACTTGTCGTCATTGAAGAGGACAATGTGTCGCTTAATCTCTTATTAAAATAACCACTTCCTTCTCCAAATATCTTTTTTGAACTTTCTAACCTCCTCAATTTACTATTATTATCCCTAAATAAGTGTATTGGTTGAATTGGAGGTGAAAATGATGGATTTTGACACACACTAAATTGGTCCTTATTGGCAAGCAATTTATGCCATTCTACGGAATCAATTTTGATAGAATTGGCAGTTTTTGCTATTGGAAAAGTATCCAATGGAGTACCCAATTTTTCTATATTTTCTCTACTTGTAGTTAACGAGCTTAAGAGATACGCTAGACTATTGACAAAAAATTTTACGAGTATTTTTAGCAATTTTCTTAAAGGTATATATGTCTGAAATATTAGAGGTCAGTCAGCTTCTGAACATGCTCAAATATGTCGATAGACATGCAACCATGGCTTTATCCAACTTTGTCGATGCTTCTTTTTTAACTTGCATTCTTGCATGTTTCGTAATAATTTTTTTGCTTATATTTTTGCTCGTTTTGTAACAATTTTCTTGCTTGCATTTTCTCTTGTCTTTCTTTCCACTTGCATGTTTTTTTTACTACAATGTTCTCATTTTTAATAACCACAATCTTTCAGTATATACTACTGAATTTGCTTCTTAACTCCCATCCAATTACCTTTTTTCTTCACTTTCGAATCAATTCAATTTTATAACATCTTTGTGCAACATCCAAAACTACTCGTTTAGCAGCTAATTCCTAACACTCAATACAATTATTGATCCTCGGTAGCGATGCCAAAATGTGGTTGTCATTTTACTTATTCTACAAATTTCTTTCAAAATAAACCTATAAAAGGAGATTCGAACATAGGAAAAGATTAATTACATGAGTTTACATATTAGAGTAACATAATTAACCATATTTTGAACCACTACAACACCAAAGCATACTACAATATTTTCTCCTACTAACAATATTTCTTCATCAATTGATAACAACAATGCGCAATTGTTCGCTCTCAAAAGACCACTCAAAACACACAAATTCCATCCAACACCAAAAATAACAGTCTTCTATTCCAACCAATCTTGCTTCACACAATTTCTGTAATCACAGACTTCTTCTATTGAAATACACACAATTCTCAATTAACAACAATTATAATCTTCCATCCAAAATCAATTCCCCACAAAATTTGATAACAAATTTTTAATATCTTCTCATAATAATTCAATCACACAATACTCCAATTACATACTCAATATCTCATAAATCAATCTCTGATTTATTCCACAGATTCACTTCATAGTATTCAGAAACTATCTATTACTCTTCAACGTTCAAAGAAAACAAAGAGAACAAAGAGGTAGCACCAAGCTTACCTTGGCTTATGACTATCACAGTCTATCTCTTCCAATATCTTCTTCAACTTATTTATGCTTTACTTCTGAAATTTTAGATTCTAACCATTATTCCCTACTTAATTATTTTTTTACAACTAATTCAATCATTCCACCTACTGAATTGACAACTCTAGGACTGATTAATCTACTTTATCCATAACTTATAAAAACGAATTTCTACCCATTCTACAGTTATTCAATGATTTAACCTATAGAATTGAATTGATTGTCTTAACAATGAATATATATATATATATATATATATATATTACAAATCTTAAATTGATATACTATTTGATTCTTCACCTTTAAAGACTTCTGAGATTTGTAAACTATTAAAGCAACCAATATCAGTATATTCTAAAATTTTAAATCAAAATTATTTTTGGAAACCTTTTTATACATCTCAAGGTTTTTGTCAAAATGGATTGTGAACGTCCAAAATATCCTGATAAGTGTAAATTTTTGGATTTTTATGTTTATATGTTTACTATTTCAATTCCATGACCTCTGTCCCCACATTCCTTTCATATGGATGAAGATCATCCATAAAAGTATGTTGAAGAAATTCAAAATGATTACACATAGAACAACAAAATGGTCATTATTTAACCACACCCAAAGTCAAGATTTGCTGAAATAATTCACCACCCAATTGGAAAAACACAACTCATAAGATACCAAGGGTGGATGAGCCATAAAGCCAGCAATTATGGTGTATCAGAGACAGGACAAGCGGCTGTTGCTCAATATATTGGTCTACACAAGTAGCCATTGCACACACATCATCCTATCAACAAAAAATTAAAAAAATAAATCATATCATAGGTTACATGCACCAACTATGGTGTGATATTCCCAAGTGCCAAAAAGTTGTGTGTCTCATTCGTTGATTTATCTACTTATTAATTCCAAATAGTGAAGGATAATAAATGCGGAGGCAGGCATGGGAGGGGTTGATATTTGGGGCCCGCTTTTGTCCAGACTCCGATTGGAATGCAGGGACTCCTTCCTTCCTTCAACCTTGTTAAGAATCTACAACTAAAAGACAAGGCAATAAGGAGAGAGAGAGATGTGGCAGCACCCTGAAGCTATTACCCCAGCAGCAAATTGGACCCTACGAGGAGAGTTCAATGTGGCACGAGCTTGATCTGCCACGTAGACCTGCTGACTGAGCATGCAAGGTGCCACGTAGATTTGCGACCGCGAGGTCTGGTGTGGGCGGAATGTGTCATGGTCCGTTCACGAAACTCCACCGACCGACCGCCATTTTGACCGACCTGCGGACCCACGCACCGACCGTCCTCCTCTCGAGACGCTCTTTTGTTCGGACTGCCTCATGTTCTGCGAAAAAAAAATTGTTGCTCGTGCATCTCCATCGTTGTTCTGTGTGAGAGCTGAGAGCGAATTCTCTCTTGCAGGCCCTCACGTTGCTTCAGCTTAGGTAAGGTTTTGTTTCGAGGATGCGGTGGTGTGGGATTAGGTCGCAGTGGGGGTCGGAATTGAGCGGGGATGGAAGATTGCGGGGTCGGGGCGTTTGTCGTAGTCGGAAGATCTAGGCCTAATTGCTGGAATTGAAGGGGTTCGATGTAGCGGTGTTGTACAGTGGTGGGGTTTTTTTCGGTGTTTGTGAGATTTTTGCTCTTGGCGGGGTTACGGTACCGGAGAGGCATGGTGGTATTGGTGGTCTTGGACGTGGAATGGCATTTGGGTTTCAGGAGTTGATGTGCATGCATTTTTCGGGAGATGGAGAGGATCAGATTCTAGGGGGTGGGGGATGATTCGGGTGTGTTCCGTTGTCTTACCGGAAAACCCGGTGGAATCGAAGGCGGACTATTCTAGCCGTGCTTGATGGTGTTTTAGGTCCTCCGCTTATTTCCTGATTGTCATTTGCGTACATGGTGTGGAATTTTGGATTTCCTGTGGAGAAAAACATGCCACGTCATTTTTCAACAGATTAGCATGGTTAGACTGCTGTTTGTTGAGATGCTTCAAGGTTGAGGATGATCCTCTTCTTGGCTGTGTTGAATTCTAACAGTAGGTGCTAGCTCTATGGTCTTCGGCTTACTCTAGTTTTTTTTTTTTATTATTATTTTTGTTTGCATGTTGCTTCCTGGTTGTTCATCTGATGCATTGTCTGGTGATCTTTACAGTTTTTCTTATCCACGCCTGAAGCTTGTCGCTCCGATTCGACTTCAAGAGAATAAATTTCGATTCGTATTGAATTTTGCAGATCTGAGGTGTATACATTCAATACGAATCAAGCACCATGTCAGAACAAAGTGATGTGTCGCAGGGTGGCCCAAACCCTGTGATGGACAATTTCAACAGGATGCCTGCTTCTGACACTGCTCCTACATCAGAGTACGCGCCTCGCAATCGGTTCTTGACGAAGGATAAGTCTGTTCATCAGCTTCTAGGCGGAGGCCGAGGTATGTTTAATATATTCAAAGGATTCATTATACATTTTCACCTGGTCATTCAGAGTAGCCGTTTTGGGCGAAATTTGGGCGTGCCTGGAATTTTTATTTGGTTTGGTGTATGTCGAGATATTGGCCTGAGTCACGAAGCCAGCAATTTTAGCATGTAGTCAAACTCCTGATTGAGAGCAGTCTGACAGGGACTAGGAAGCTGTAGCTTGAGAACCCAGAATCGTGTTCACTCTACCGTAATATGTTTTTTTGTTTGCGATCAGTATAACCTTGATCTTGTAATTGGTGTGTCTCAGTTATGTTGATGCAGAGTGCTTCTGTAATTAAATTTGCAGTTTTCAAATCACTCTAATCTGACTTTAGTTTCATGTTTCCCTTTTTGTTATTTCAGTTTTTTGTGTTTTTTCATGTTTGGGGCCTTGTCCTGTGAGTTGTTAGTTTTTGTGGTGATGTCTTACTTCTTCTTGATTTAGCAGCTCAACGTTTTTGTCATGTTCGAGACGTTAAATAATTTATATGTGCTCCTTAAAAAGCTTACACTGAACCTTTTTATTTATAGAACGATTCTTTACTCTATAAAGGATTAAGTTCATGTTCTTGGATAATTTAATATGTACTTGCTTCTATTTGTGTATGTGTTTCATTGTTTGATTTCTTTTCCTCTCTTGATATGGTTCAGTCTCAAGGGACCGAATTTTCAGTTTCAGTATATAAGAGGACGTTTAATATAGAATCTATATATTCTATTGCCTTACGAAGGCATCACCAGTATCTACAGTAGCCAACCGATTGTGTGAAACTTTTCCCTGACTCGTACTCAACAGGCCGTTTTGTGAAAATTCCTTTCTATGTTTTGTAGGTCTGGTTGATCGTTTAGCAAGTCGCTATGATTCATCCAGACATACAAGTCTCGGGGTTCTAAAGGCGTCCCCTTTGTCTCTCTGGATTATGGATTGTGGATGTGTTTTCCGCTGGTTAGCTGTAACGGACAGTGTCGTCAAGTTCTTCGATTTGGGTTTACTATGTTATCCTACGTCTTCCTTTCAGAGACTTCGATGATCAATGAGCTTCACGTTATTCTGTATTCATTTGTCCAGAATATGTTAGGTGACGTGGTAAACAATCTTTATGCAAGATTGTTTGGCATTGACTTTGAGTTGGAGTTCATGTGCCTTTTAGTTCTACGAAGCATTTCTTCCTCGAACACGATTTCTACCAGTATATGTGCCGTTGGCTCCTTTAGCTCCGATTTGCATTCTAATCATTTTGTGTTCGTCCTTTCATAATCAGTTCATTCTCAACTGTTTGATGGATTAATTCCTTGCTTTTTTAAATGCAGCTGCCGATTCGGCTCTTTGGAGGGACAAGTACCTTTCTGCTGGAACTTTGGGTGGATCTACCCTCATCTGGTTCTTAGTAGAAAAATCTGGCTACACAATTACGACACTGATATGCAATATCCTCATGCTCATCACTGTCGTTCTCTTTGTCTGGTCGAACGTTGCCGCTCTATTGAAGAGGTCTTGCTCTACTCCTGTATACAAAAAAAGTCAATTAGTTCCTTGTATTGCCTTCGAAGTATAGTCGTACAGTATATACATGGTGTCAAAATCGTTCCTGCCAGTGTAGTAATTTCAGCCTTATTCTTGGTCCAAATTATATTGTTAAAACTTCTACATTGAAAATAACCGCGTTTAATATTTTGTGTATCATTTACAGTGCTATAGTTCACTTTTGGGATTTTTCTCTCTTTGTCGGGGGCCTCAGTATTTCGTTCATGACTGCTACTTTCTTAATAACGTGGTTTTGCTGTGAATCTGGTCAGGCCTGGCCCACCGGTTCCAGAGCTGTCTCTCTCGGAGGATTTTGTTCTGAGCACGGCGAGTGTTTTCCGGAATGAAGTGAACAAGGCTTTGAGTGCTGCTCGTACTGTTGCTCTTGGCAAGGACTTCAAGCTATTTTTCATTGTAAGTGTTTTGGGCATGTTATCACTGACTTGACCTTTTGAGTTTGAGGAGCTTTGCATGTGTGGATCTTTACCGTGGTCGTTGAGTTTGAACGCTTGTGTGCTTTCATCTGTCTAAACTTGCCGGTGGAGCCTGGTCGGCTGATGGGGCTGGAGTGCGTTGTAGAATGCGTGCCTGGGCATTGAGTATGTGATGAAGGCGTGGGCAACTGACCGAATCCGTGGGTTGGGAATACATGTTGGTGTGACGTGTTTCCAGAGGCAGTGATGGGAGTTTGACGAGTTGAAGGAATGGTTGTTGTGATGTGCAGGTGATTGCTTTCTTGTATGTGGTGTCGACAGTGACCTCGTGGTTCAACTTCCTGACTTGCATATGGATCGGTAAGTGGGGTGCCTTGTGTGAGCAAGCGTGAAGCAATGGCGTGGTGGTTTGTTTACGTGTTTGCTTGCTGTGGACATGGAAGGAGGTGCAGTGGAAGTTGGGATGGTATGTGAGGTTTGCGAGTTGGGTGAGGAAGTGGAGTAGTTTGATTGATGACGCGGCGAAGTCGTGTATGGTGGATGGATGAGGGAGGAGGGGGTTGCGGTGTGCAGGCGTTGACGTGACGGTGGTTGTGTGACAGGCATCGTGTTGCTGCACGTGGTTCCGTTCATCTTCGACAAGTACGAGGACGTGATCGATCACCATGCACGGAAGGCAGCGGACACGGCGAGCGTCCAGTATAAGAAGATCGATAACGCAGTGCTACAGAAGATTCCTAGAGCCCCGGCTAAGAAGAAGTTGTAGGTTCTCAGGGGGGGGTCCGCAGGGGGAGAGGAGGGGGATGAGTAGGTTGCATCCAAGCGGGTGAAGGACCTGTATATACGTATGTAACTGGTGGAGAGTAGGACGTAGACATATAGCTGAAGCTTTGGACGTATGTAGCTGCGGAGTTTACAATGTGCAGCGTGGTAGGAGTGATGCAAGCGGGTGTCACGAAATACGAATGCACAGTTATGTTCAGTTTGTTTCGTAAACGCGTCCCTTGTGGGCATTCATATTTCTTCTTGAACTTGAGGTGCGAAGTGGTGTGTGAAGTTGAGGGGGTGGGCGAGTGTGGAATGTGAGAGCGGAGGGGAATGTTGGTGTGGTGGTTGTGAAGGGGGTGATGTTTGTGAGCAGCGACGCAGATGGTACTGCAATGCTGCAAATGGAAGGAGAAATGTGGAGCATGGCAGGAGATGTTGGTGGTTGTGAAAGTGCTAGGTGAAAATATTAGGGTATCAGTAGTGGGTCTTCACGGCTGGTTTCGATCACCGACTGCGGAATTTTATCACTTTGAAAGGACTTGGTGGGGAATAATGGCTTTACTGCTCACATTGTTAGATTGACTGTTGAGTTTTCCTACGATCGTCCCATCTAATAAACACTTATCCCACCTCTGGAAAGATTCTCGTAATGAATAAAGTAACAAATGAAGAGAGAAAAAATGTTTTGTTTATAGTTTAGAGATATCTATAGCCCATAAACAATAGTTTGCAGGAATATTAGTAACCAATTGCCAATTTACTCATTCAACTTTCATTCAGCTGTATTGGATAACTGCTTAAAAGTTCAGAACCATATGATATCTGAGATAATTGTTACCACATACACAAGATTTATGCTCTTGGTTCATTGTTTAAGCCGATACTCCAGCTTGTAATTTACTACCGATAACTTTGCATTTTACTATTTCAAAGAAAAGCACTATGCCTTCGAATTACTTACCATCCTCTTCCTCCTCATCGGACTCATGGAATATAGTTTGGGGCTGGGTTTCAGCATATGCAGGTCCAAAAAATGTGGGATCCTTGGCAGCTGCATCTGCATGTTTCAAGATTGCTTCGCGTGGGTCCTCGTCCATCCACGTCTCTTTTATCATGCCTCCTTCCTGCACGACCCTCGCGTTGTTCATTCTTATCAGCAGACTCTCCACTCAGGTGTAACTGGTGTATTGGATGACAGAAAACATGGTACTGCAGGACCAATGACCATAAACATAAAACAAGAAATTAATCAAGGAGCATCTACTAACCCGCATGAGATATTGTGTAAGTAAGCTGCCCTTGGTTGTACCAACACGACCACCAAATCCAGGTCCACTCATCGGCAAATCTGGTCTCTTGGACTTGATGGGATCATTACGAGCTTTCTCACGGGCTCTCTTTCTGCTGGGAGCATCTCTGAAGAGAGGCAATGCGTGTGGATTATGTACCACAGGCTTTGCCTCCATGTCTTCAATGGATTTCTTACGAGGAGCACGAGCAACACAAACTAGAGCCCCCTTCTCGCTAATAGCTGGGTCGTACAATACATGGGTTCCACCTCGCTTTTTATCTCCTGTTGTTGCAAAAATCTGCGAAAAAAACTCACATATCAGCAAAGCATCGCTATGATCAGGTTTCTCGACTACTCCAGAAATTCAAACCAGTTGTTTTATGTGTTTCACAGGGTCGTGAAGAGGATTAACATATGTCAAGCTGATTTTCTGGTGTTAGAAGGACATATATGAAAGACTTGAGCGGCAAACCATATAGTTTGAATAAGCATATATACCATAGACTTTGTAACTTTCAAAAGTCGAGAAGACAAGTTCGAACTACGAGTGGAGTTTGTACCTGGTTAAGTTTGGGGTGCCAAAGAGAGCATACTACGCTTTGATCGGCAGAAACGCCGACTCTCCTAACAAACTCCAATCGCTGCCTATCGAAGAAGACGAGCAATCCTCCTTTGTTTCCTTCTTTTTCAGTTGATGTCCCAGTCATAATCAGACGCTCATCAGGGCTGAAGGAGACGGTAGTTTGAGCGTATGAGTTCGGCAAATCACCAAAAGTCTTTAATGGTGCCTTCGGTTTTCGCACATCCCACACCTGGGAAAAGCAAGTTCCACGTTAAATCGAGTTGTGAGGATGCTGATATAATGCTAAGTGATTATCTTTGAATTTGAAACATCTTTGAAGAGCCAAGTCGATCGCCTCCTACGCAAAACGAGTTCCAAGCATATTCAGGTGTCCCCACTCAAATACATGAGGGAGGAAAATATACCTTAACAGTAGAATCTGTGCTACGAGAAAGAAGGGTATTCCCATCTCCAGAAAAACAGAGACTTGTAACATCATCGCCATTTTCATGGGCGTTGCTAATATAAATGTCGGGGCGGCTCCCCCAACCAGCTTTTACATTCCAAATCTGAAAAGTCGATTGAAATGATATTAAAAATTGGTCAATTTGAAAGTTTTAAATTAAATGTCTATGAAAGCGAGAACAAAAGATTTTTTAACAAGGCTTTACTAAAAGCTGACCTGAATAGATCCATCAGCAAGACCACCCGCCACACAGTTGCCATTCAGGCCCCACGCGCAAGCTGTGACTGAAACTCTCCCTGGTCTTGCAAGCTTTGGCTTTACGACCTGTGCAAACAATACAAACCGTAGCAATTGAGTTTTAAAAAAATATCTTCTACGATATGGATGACTAGATATGCGAGACAACAGGATGTTATCACTCATGTTACATAGACGCTTATTGTGAGAGGTGCCTTTTGAATACCAAAGCAAAAATACATGAAACAATTTCATAAAGCACTTTAAGGATGCAGGACTAAGTGACATATAGAAATCAAGGAGGTGCGCAAGTTACCTGTTTTTGAGTTTTGAAGTTTGTCACATCCCAGATTCTTAATGATCCATCCTCAGATGAAGTAAGCGCAGTTTGACGTTCTTTTGGATGCCAGTGCCCACCAGTAAGGCCAGAAATGTGACCTTTGGTATTCTTTAGATCCCGTATATACATATCTCCCTTTACAAATTCTCCTTGTGTAAACCCATCTCTGTCATATATTTTCGCTGTTGCAGAACCGGTTACAGCAATAAACTGATCTGCTGTGGGAGACCAGCTGAGAGCACGAAGCTGATGACCTTCACTGGGTTCGATCTGACGGAAGGAGCGAAGCTGGGCATTCATCCCTTGAAAATCATACATCCTTACAGAGTAATCGTAGCCTCCAGTCAGAACCCTCGACCCTGTTGGATCCACTGCAATAGCTGTCACCACCTGTTGATAAGATAATAGGAATCGGGTACAATAATTAATAAGCGCGAGGGCATGGGTATGAAACAAACCCTGCGAAACATTTCCTAATAATCATGATTCTTATAGTGACTTCTGAAAATCTTTGGGTATGAAATATCCTTCATTTTTATATTCGTAAATAGTATGACTAGATTAATTTGCTTTTTCTCTTTCAGAATCCATCAGCATGTAGACGTTCAACTTAGATCGTTCAACCCATGTATGAACCAACCTCTAAAAGCAAGCGAGCAGAAGGTGGCGTGCCTTGGTGTGGCCTTTGAGTACGATCTCATTACTGAGAGGAAAGCGATACTCATCGTCGTCTTCATCTGCCTCGTCCTCACCACCGTCTTCATCCTCAGTGCTACTTGTCCCCGGCCTATGTGGTGGTCCTACTATGTCTTCATCCTCAACTGTAGCTGGAGGTCGGGGAGGTCCAACCACGTCTTCATCATTCACGATTGTCTCCGGACGAGGAGGTCCCACAATGTCTTCATCAGCCCTAGCTGCCGGAGGTCGCGGAGGTCCATAGAATTGACTCCCTGCAGATGCAAACTGGATTTGGCCAGATCTTCGTGAAGCCTCACTTTTCAATTTGTTTGCAGATTTCTGCACATAAACAAACATGTTTTAGGTGCAATTCATAAGAATCAATATGTCCTGCAGAACCAGAAATAGGAGAGAATATGCGTGAAAGTTCGATTTAAGCCACCTCATCTAGTCCAACAATCCTGTGACAACTAGCACGAAATACCGATTCCAACTTAATCTAAAGTGAAGTAAAGAAACCTCTAGTTTAGAAAAGTCTGTAACAACTTGATATGCCAGCTCAATCACATCGATGGATGTTGTGTACTCACCAAGAGCAAACGCTCAGCAACGACCTCCCCGCGCTTGGTCTTCGAATGAATGGACTCCAGCGGTACGGCTTTTGCTTCTTGCTTCCCGAACGAAAGAGGAAAATGAGTACGCAGACCATCGTGTATATCTGCTTCATCGCCAGGCAATTCATCAGCCGCTCCTTCTATTTCCTGTTCGACATTAGATCCGTACCACAATTTAGAATCCATCACGAACTTTGCAAGAGCTCCTCAAGTGCTTCTAAATATACACTGCAACTCCATCCACCTCAGGCACCCGCCTACCTCGACATCGTCACCCAGCTCTTCATCTAGCTCGCCGCAATGCAATGCAAGGTTCATGTTGTGTGCTAATAAATAAATGAACGATCGTAAAAATGTACAAAGAAGGTGACAAGTGGGATCAAACTAACGTCGTCGTCTGCGTCGTCGTCGTCGTCGTCGTCGCCATCATCGTCCTTCGTAGGATTCTCTCCGGATCTTAGCATCTTCACTCCCAAATGACCCACACCAAGCCCACCTGTTCGCCCTTGAGTAAGCCTTGCACCCACAGTTGGTTGCTGTTCCTGCGAAGGAATAATCAAATGTTATAAATTGCATAGCTGTAGAAATAACCAAAGCTGACCCAGTTCGTTCTATATATCAAGGAAAAAGTTAGGGCTAAAATGAATACACGAAATTCCTCAATATGACCCGACAGAACCTTTCAAGAAAGCTCCTCACGATAGTATAAACATACAGACAAGGAACATGTCTCTCCTTGAAAATGAGCACTGTCACTCACAAGCATGGAATAAAGCCGTAAAAACTCTAATGCAACCGAAACCTAAAAAGCATAGCAATCCCGTCTGCAAGGTATTTTGCACTAGCAATACGGAGACAAATACCGAAAGCAATCAGCTGCCCAGAATTGATTCACCTATAATAAAAAATCAAAGGAATCCGTAAAACATGCAATCGAAAAAGAAAAACCCTGGGGCTACCTCATGCATTTTGTTTACCTTGATAGGATTTGCAATATCGCCGTTCTTCTCGTCCGCATTCGACTGGGGCAAGTGGCGGTTCTTAGGCTGTCCCGAATCATCGTCGGCCATATTTACGAAAGCAAAACTAGAGAGCACACTTCAGAATTCTCCTTCTGCTATAAATATTAAGGCTCCTCTTCTCACGGGACAGACTACAACCACCTGAATAGAATGCTTCAGATGTTAAGTTAAAGCTAGACAACATTCATGCACACGATTAGACGACAAAAGCTAGCAACAAAGTGCCCGTCAACACAGACACCAAAATCTTCACCTAATTCATTGTGTTCACTACTTCGTCGCCAGCCCAACGAACACCAGAGTAATTAACACTACTCCCGCGAGTGCAACACACATAAAAACAGAACCTTCTGAAACCACAGAACTTAGCACAAACTGTTTCGTCAACATTCAACAGCAAAATTCTGAAGCCAGCAATCGAAGGGAAAGCAACAGACGCCAAACCTCAAAATGAATAGACAAAAACCATTACTCACCTGAAAAGAAATAGACAAAAATTGTAGTTACCAACGGCCAAAAAGTCCAACACAGCAAAATAAAAGGCGGACGGAAATAAAATGCGTGATAAACCCAAACGAAAAATTGACTAATTCGAAATGAGAGACACCGAGAATGATGCAACTAAAGCTCCGCGAAGCAGCAACAATTTGCAAAAAAAGGAAAAAATTAAGAAGGAGGATCGCGCCCCAACACCGAGAGGGTTCATCAGCTGTCCCATCACCGTGGATGTGGGTGCCGAGCAAGTTTCTGAGGGATTCAATTCCCTGGTTTGGGCTTCATTGACCATCCGAGGAGCTGATTGCGAGCACAAATTTTGGGTCAGAAGGAGCATTTTGGTGTGGGTTTTGAGGGTCTGATAGGTGGTGGATTGATTCTCAGACAATTTGAACTCTGTTAGGGTTTGGGGTTTAGGAGAAAAATGGAGTCTGTTGAGCAGCTGAGGTCAGAGGAAGGTGGGGATGAGGTGCTGAAGAAAGGACCCCTCATTGCAAGATTCCCGAGGCAATCTCCTGTGGTGGAGCCTGTGAAGCTGGAGTCTGAGGTGCCGGAGGTTGAGAGTAAACCAGCGCGCAACATGATACAGGTGGGACGCAATTCTGTGCCCTAATAACCCTTGTGTCATGGAGATGGTGCTTCACAACTCTATTGCTGCAATCTTAGTTGGTTTTTCTTTGTAATTGTTTTCTGTAGTGATCAGCGTCGTGTTTTCTAAATATACCCTGCTTCAATGAGATGAACAGCCCACGAGCAGAGTGCGTGGCGCTTGAGGTTGTTACTTGTTCCTGTTTGTGTTTCTGCACTTTAAACCTACTTGCATGCCACCAACTGGCAACAGGTTCCAGAAAAGAGATACGTATTTTAGAGCTTATCTCACTGTGCTTCTTTTCTCATTCTCATCTTCTGCTAATTTTACTTCAAATTGTACATCAAAGCCTTTGATCAATTCATAGCGTCGAGAAAGTCTGAGGACGTATGCAAGGACAATCTTGTGCTGTACATAAGTTGGATGGGCCTAGGTTATGTTGCTCTAGGACTAGGTCGGGATGGGCAAGAACATTGAATTGTTGATACATTTACAATGTTCACAAAGCCTGACCGGGTGTTGTGTGAGTTTGCAGGTGTACCTAATGGCTGCTTACTTAGTGGGACGCTGGGCATGGGCTAGGTATCAAGAGCGACAACAAAGGCCCAAATTCGATGGCAGGAGGAAGAGTCCTAAAGATGATTCGTTGTTTTAAAAGGCTTGACCATGTTCATTGACTTCAATTTTTGTATACCCAAACAGCTATTCTAGCTGCTAGAGAGATGCCTTCCCATGCCGACTCTAAATCATTCGCCACGAATTGCCAGTTGTATGATGATTTCATGTTGTTTCTCACTCATTTCCTTGCATAATTTTGGCAGAGCTTTTGTTTTCTTTAGCTCAACTTGGGTTCTTTCGCAACTTTCTCACTTGACTTTACATTGCCGATACATATTTCTTTGTTGTTGCCATTCACAGACGCAGGTTTGTTTTTCTGTTAACACAACAGGGAAGGGTCGTGTTTACGTATAAGAGCAAACAGAAGCTACCGTGTGCACATTTATCACATAAAAAGGGTTTTGTTTCTGACCCATGGACTTTTATCATTGAAACGACAATGTATGTATTTTTTTAATCCAAAAAGTTAGAATACCAGGGTGTAGTTCTTGCGTTATATCATGTACAACTGAGTTTTTTTCTTGGGAATCTTGATGCTAAACGATTGCGACAGAGAAAGGATCTCTTGGGTTGATTTTACAATACTACATATCCCCAAATCTTTAAACCTGAAGCTGATTTTCTATGAGGTCATTAAAACTGAAAAAACCTGTGGAAATGGAATGGAAAAAACCTTATCCACTACAAAGGAATTGGACTTAATTTATTAGAAGAATTTAATATCCTTCTAGCTGATAAGGTTTTTAATAATACCTCTTTTGAAATTTAAGGACCCAATGTGGATAATTCATAGGTTTTTGAATATTGCTTCCACAAAAACGAAAAAATCCTTCATTCTATTTGCAATAAGAATAAAATAAACAGAATATTTTGTATACTCTATTTAATAATGGAATTGTTTCAAGTTCACTTTTGAAGTTATTTTGTTTCTTTGATGTTATCTAGATAGAGTGTTTTTATACTTTGGTTTTAAAAATTACAATTATTATAAAGCATGAATTATAAAACTTTTTTTATTTCAAATCAAAATGGCCTTGTAGATTATTACTTATATCAAAATTCTTCATGGTATTTTTGACAAGCTGCAATATACAATAAAATAAAATAGCATATATAGTATCTAAATAATCCAATAAAATTTTAAAAACTATTATTGTACCTATAAATTAAGGTAAACTTTATCTTAATTGTGTTGCTAAAGAAATTATGTTATGGACTTATTAATTTACATCAAAAAATGATAATAAATATAGTATTCTTTAATTTTTATTATTTATTCATATATAATTATGTTTTGAAATAATAAAAAATTTATATCTATTTAAGTAAATTCTTAGTTTAAAATCAAAAATATACCAACTATGTAAATTATAATTGTAACAAGTTTGTTTTAGAATCAATTATAACAAATAATATAAGATAGGATTATGTGTAAAGACAATCAATACTACAATCTTTAAATAAATATTTTTTATCCATAAATATAAAAATAATTTTAAATAAATATAATAAAATATATGCAACTTGAATAAGTCATTAATGCATAGATAAGAAAATAATTTTAAATTTATAAATTAAAAAATATTACTTATGTCAAAAATAAGTTTAATAGAAAGACAATAGTTTTTAAATTTATAAATCTAAGATTTAAATATATTGTATTGAAATTGTTATTAAATAGTGTTATATAGGTGCAATCATAAATCATTAAAATATTTTATTTATTTTTAATATTATATATAGAAAAAATTTAATTTAAAAAAATATTATATGATAATATATGCATTATTTATAATTAATGTCTACATATGCAATATTTCCAAGAATCCTATAAAATAGTTATAACTAATATAATCTATCATTTAAAGGAATTTATTAAAGCTTAATCTCCTTTTGCCATCTCATGATTGATTCCATCCATTCCTTCTCTCCATCCCTTATTTCCCTCTCTTGTTCCATGTTTCCTATCCCAAATTCCTCTCCATTCTTGTTTTCGTCCTTCATTCTTAGTGCCAACTATATGATAATTATTTTATACTTTATTTAGATATTGCAAGCTCAAGTGGAATTTTTGATAAACTTGGATGGGGTGTGGAACATATTCATAGTGTGCACCAAGAAGTCATAACATCCTAGGTTGGAATATGAAAATAGAATTAGTTAATACATTATGATACATGGAATTTGAAAGAATTGAAGATGAAGTATGTTAGTTTATATTGATTGCTTGCAAAAAACATTGGAAGATAAGGAACGAGGGAGAAGAATGGGGACGAGGAAGAGTTTGGAATAGAGTACAAAGAACGAGGGATCGAAATGAGAATAAAGGATTGTGAACATCAAATGGAAAGAAGGACATGAATGAGGGAGGGTGAGGGGGAGGGAGATATGGGGATAGGGAGGTTTTGGACAAGAGATAGGAAATGAAGGAAGAGAACATGGATATAGAACTAAGAACAAGAGACAAAGATGGGGTATGGATGGAATCAATTATAAGATGGCAAAAAGAGGTGTAGCTTTAACAACTCCATATCTAAATCAAGTATAAATTAATTGTCATATATATATATATATATATATATATATATTATAGCATATTATAGTGTAATAATATCATTTAATTAAATCTATTGGTATTTAAATATCTTTATTTTATAAGTTAATAATACCCAATTATAACATCATAAAGTAATAATCTATCAAAAAAATTATCACTAGATTCTTCAAATAATTTTATATTATCTATTTTGATAAGTATGCTATTTTATTTTATTTTTTCTAAATTTTATTTTATTAGTATAAGAAAGAAAGAATTATGATATTTTCTTAAGTAATAATATTTTTATTAAAAATGCAACTAAAAATTAATTAAATTTTACAAAAGTTAGCCAAATGTTTGCAAAGATACTAAGCACATGTGAATTTGCTTTAAACTACCTATTCTTCAACACATATTTTGCTATTACTTATGAATTATAGTGGTAACTTTCCTGTATTTTTGAAAAGTAATGGATACACTAAGTTGATTCAAAATACTATTCCATAATTGAAAACATTTTACGATAAACCTTGAAACAGGTTCAAAAAGATGAATGATGCTTGACATTAGACCTTGAGGATTAGACAAACACAGTTTTGAGATCGTCGTCGAATGTAGAGATTAAACCTCTTTCACACAGCAAAATCTATATCTGGTAACTTTTAACTTTTTGTAGACAAATTTCACTAGCAGAGAAGGTAAAAAGAAAAGTTCGGAAACTTCATCACTAAGTGGCGAAACTAGGGTGAGCATATGGAAGTTTAAATTGATAGATTCCTCCTCATTCTCTGAACCAAAGTGTTTGAATAACGATAGAGATCTATGTTTTCATCCGTCTCCACACAGCTTATTAATTGAAAGTTGGACTCATGATGCATAACATTAATCGAAGCAACACATCTTTGTGTTGATCAACACCACTTCTTCCTGTTCCTTTTTAGACCTTATGCCCAGGAGGGTTAGCACAATTCTCTGCAAGATAATGTAACTGATAATCATTTTGGTCTTCAAGGCAAGTTTTGAATCATTCATTATGTCTGGGTTGGAATCTCCGCAACAAACGGGTGCTGAAGAAGCTGCTCCACCGAAGTCCTTGGCTTAGCACAATATATCAACATATATTACAAGGACAAAAGACATACAATTTCTTTCTCTCTATACGGGTTGAAGTAACTAGCATGCAGTATTGTTCATGCAAAAAGCGACCAAGAACCTACAAGTTGATAGAGCTTACCTCAGTTGATGTTGGCCGTCTCCTTGCTTCAAGCTGAAAACACTGTGACAAAAAATCTTTGACAACATCGGAGACTCCTTCTGGTATAGGGGGGCCGCTACTTGCCTTCGCAATGTGAAATATGGCTGTCCATGTGTTGTCCATCTCTGGCCAGGGGTGCCTGTCATATAACAAAGTACCAGCAATTCTGAACTGGGGTGTAGAATATACATTAGTTCTCTACTCAACCAGGATTAGAAACAGCCTTGACAAACTTTGGCACCATCGAAATTGGAAGGACATAAAAAACTTCAGGTTTAAGTGACTGATCTCAAATTTGTCTCAAAGCGCATACATATGCTGAGAAGAAAGTCATGATCTTGACGAAATTTCTATCACATTGATGAAAGTGAAAAAGCTGACTCTTACTCAGCCGTGAGCATTTCAACCACAGTGCAACCAACGCTCCAAATATCAGCTCTGCGGCCGTAGCCATCACCTTTGATGACCTCCGGTGCCATCCAGAACACAGACCCTCTGATTGACTTGAACCCATCAGTTTGTGTCGGGTCATGAAATGCCTGCAAACACGAAAATTCCTCTAGAGATTGGCTGGTCTGATCATTTGAATACAGCAACAAGATTCAATTTTTCAATAATGGACTTATCACAGGAGCCAATTAGAGGAACTGAATGTGGACGTGACTTTGTATAGCCGTGTGTGATATTTGATATGAATTAGCTTCCCTCCTATCAAACAATTAAAGCCACACTGCTCAATACCAACTTGATAAATACACACTGCATGGTTACAATGTCGATTGCTGAAGTTTGGATTCAGCTTTACTGTATAATTGGGACGCTGAGTGTCTCATTTCAATGCATAAAAACGTTTCAATAGGGTCTAATGCATCATACATTACTACCTCTAAAAATTCATAAGCCATGTAGCACTAGAATCTACTCTGCAAGATACAAAGAGGACGTACACTGCCTAAGAAAAGTCAATTTGCCAAAAAACAGGAATCACTCGGATGACAATAAGCCAGCATAATTAGGTGCTTGAAAGAGTTCCAATACCTTTGAGGCACCAAAATCGGCTAATTTGATAACCCCATCAGCATCCACAAGCACATTGCCACCTTTGATGTCTCGATGTACTATTTTTTTTCCATGTAGGTACTCCAGTCCAAGAAGCAGTTGTCGAGTGTAAACCCTTACCAACGGCTCACTGAATCGTCCGAATCTCTCCAGCATACTACAAAAGTAAGCCAAGTCAACAAGGCCCTGCATAGGTAATTGCTAGAAAATAATATAACATCAGCCAGAATTCAAAAGTCAAGCAATGGGAGAGAGCGAGCATATTGGAGAAAAAACACAAGCCGAGCAAGACAACACAAATTTGAATGTTGCACAGTTCTTGTCAGGCAGGAAAAAATTGGTCTACCCGGTTAGCAACCACAGACAAATATGCCAGCAAGAATTAAAGGAAACTGCAACGCTTTTTTCAAAACACTGCTCAAATACCATATGCAGCTGTAGAAAGGAATAGGAAAACCTTCATGCAACTTTAGCATGCAACACTAATTTCGTAGAACAAAAGAATCCCATAAGAAAAGAAGAGGCATCTAGAGATACGTAAGTTAAAAAAATAAATTCAAACCTAGAGCTTGACACAAATTTCAGATGATGAAGCTGAAACAGATCATATTCATAGTAAATTCGGGAGTATGTTCTACCTTTGAATGGAGCCACCGGAGACATACTCTAAGAAGACATAGAGACTGCCAGTCTCGGTATCTTGCTCCATATCAATATAGCCTACAATGTGCTTGTGTCTCATGATCTTATATAAAGCAATTTCGCGTTCTAATGCTGCCAAGTAGAATTGCCTTTCCTGCCCCTCAGCTGCTATGTTTAATTTCAGCTGTTTCACAGCCATCAGCTCACCTGTATCTTGGTTAAGTCCAGCATAAACCTGCAAGATGGGTGTAAGTTTTATTTGTCTAGACAATGTTATGCCTGGAAACATCAAAAAAGTGGAATTGAAAGATCAAAAACTTCAATTGAAAGCTACTGGTTTGACATGCACAATCGCTTCAGAGCATGCAGCTAAGTAGAGATGGCATGCTAGAATTTCAGAAGCTTTCTAAGGGCTCTCCTTCAGTGAAACCTTTGTTGACGTTAAATAAAAATTGGACTAAAATATGAGACCATAGAGAAGTACAACCTTTCCATATGCACCCTCACCAAGCAACTCTCCTCTTGTCCAGCGAACAGATCCTGTGCGAGTAGGTTGCACATTGGTTGAAAATTTGTCTGGAACGGTTTGGCTGCTGCTGCAAGAAGCAATTTCACTAGTGGAGGCAGATGATTGCTTATCCGGAGCAATACATCGTCCTTCACACCCTGGTTTGCCGCAACCCACACAACCTGCATCATGATCTAATGATTTCGGTATTCCTGTTGGTCATGGTTGATTCAACCTGGAGACTGGAACTTCTCGACATAAATGACTACCTTCGGGAACTAAAGTTTGTTTCAGGCACATGTTTGTATATTTACCCTCATATTGATATTTCATTTTATTTTATTCCAAAACAAAAGAAGGTCCAAGTTAATTTTCAGACAATGATCCCTGAATACAATGTACAGTACTGACGCCTTCGGCCAGAATTAAGCCCTCAGAAGACAACGGTAAATAAACTCACATAATTTTTTGTACGTGGAGCTGGTTACCATAGAACTGTTAAATAACAAAAGACTGAAATATATTTCCCGCAATGCGTATCAAAGAATAGATGACAAGACCACAGGTTTAAATTATGGCATTCTAAAATCAAATTAAATTTGAGTCACCCGAAGTGAAATTGCCGGCAGAAGACTCTCCATTTACTAAACTATAGCATTCAACTCTTACGAATTGTAGCAAAGCATTAAATGATTATTAAATTCTAAGTTTCGTCATAAAATCTACATCGTGAACACCATAGTTATTACTTAAGAACTACTCTTCACCTGATCGTGCTGCTTCATGCCAATCCTCTCGAATAAGAGCAAGGTTTACATCAGTAGGTTGTTCCGCAACAGCAAAAGTCACTGTTTTCTTCTTTTCTTTCATCTTTCTTGCATCTCCTTTCAAGACAGAGGCTGGACGAACATCCGCAGAATCTGCCTTCTCATTGGGTATGCTAGAGGCTCTTTGGGGGTTGTCAAGGACACGCGTTTCAGGTTTTTCTTAATCCCATCAGCACCAAAATATATAAATAATTAATTTTGTTTGTTTGTTTGTTTTAAAGAAAAAACCTAGCCCTGAGATCGTAATCACAACAAATTACGTATAGATGAATTGCAGCAAATTAATAATGGAAGATCCAGTCATCAACTATCAATGGCCAATTTAGAATACTTTTCAATTAATCTGTTAAACTTCCTATGGATTCACCTTCTTGCCGCGGAGTTTCAGGTGCTTGTGGGGTTCCTGATGACTTTTCAGAGAGGTATTCCTCATTCTCATGAACTTCGAGTTTGTGCCCAGGTAAGGCTGCTGCTCTGAACTTCTCCATCATAGAAGGAGCCATACTATCACAAGCACGTGCAAATCTCTTTCGCATCTCGGCAGTACGCTCTTGAGAACTACTCAATCCAGAATCCACTTCCTCATTGACTCCGTTAATCTTGTTATCCTCAAATCCTCGGGAAGAGTTTCTATCTGAAGGATCAGATTCGGCCTCTTCAGAATTAATCGCAGCTGTACTTTTTACATCTGAGTAAGTTGCCTGCGGGCAGAGAATTACACTTCAGCAACCAGTTCTTGTGATCATCGACCTCCTGCACAAAACCTGCTGGTGCACTAAGGGCCCTGGACACCACAGTCACAAGAGGAGAAGAGCTTGCCTGTTCAGTAGGATCGATGCTTTGGCGTAGCAACTCCTCCTGAGGTGCATTCAAATTATGCTTTGGAGCAGCTTTAATACTTGGTACCCGTTGAAGAGGTAACCTACAAAAAAAAATAAATAAATAAATAAATAGAATGCAATGTTTAACAATAATGTTCCACGTCTTCATTCACACTTGAGAGTATCTCGTTATCCTCATAGAAAATAAGGTCATTGCAACAGAAAATATTTGTACTTATTTCTTCCATTTCACCGAGTCAATAAAAGCAAAGGGAAATGATTACTAGAAAAAGCCATGCCTTTCGTGCAAAACCCGTTCAGGCAATGACCTCGTGAGTGAGCCTTTGAAGGAAGAGGTTCCATCCTGCATCCATGTATCCATCCCTTTGTTGGGTGAGTAGATACTATTTTCATTTGAAGTGATGTTTGAGCTCTGATTGGAAAAAGCCCTGTGAACTAATCCTTGACGAAAAACCTCAAATGATGGATTTCTTACAATTTCCCAGTCCATCGGACTGGATCCAACAGCTTGGCCAGCAGTATTCTGAGAAATTTGCCTATTGGCTCCCCATTTCTCTGGCTGTATGCTAGCATCTTCTCTATAACCTTGGATAGTGCCCGCTACCTCATGATCTTGGGAACTACCTGTATTTACGTCCATCCCTGAAGTCATATTTCTTTCGTGACCTTCCCGCATTGACCTATCAAACTCTCCAGCTTCTGAAAAGCTCGTAGATCTGTTATTCGAAAACAGTGAGTTCTTTCTCCACTGATACAGATCAGGCATATGGATGCTTGAGTGTGCCAAAGTTGGTCTTGGACTCATTCGACCTTCTATATCCGATTTCATTCGTGCACCCAAATGCTCACTAATTGCTGGGTCGGTAGCCAACTGAACAGGCAAAAGATCACTATCCGATTTTGCGTATATGTTTGCACCAGCATAGAGCAGGATATTCACAATGCCCCTGATTGTAACATGAAGTCAACCTGATTAGACCGTGTACACACAATTCTCGGATAGGACAGAAATGCAATAACACAAGACATATAAAAGTCCGATTATGGATGATGTCACTTGCATACTCGACCGTATGCTCATGTGACTATAGGATTACACAAGCTAGCACTCAAAGACAAAATATTTTACGTTTCAAAGAAGACGATCCGCTAAATTCTAACATACAGAAGCAGAACCACTAGCTTCGTTCATTGGATACATATCACTTTGTAACAGAAGTTTGGTGAATTCAGCGTAGAAAGCATTACCGGTTTCCTGAGGCTACGGCATAATGCAGAGCAGTGTATTGTCGACCGTCACAAGCATTGACGTTAGCCCCAGCTTCAAGGAGCAACTTCACAAGTGTCTCACTGCCCGTACCAACCGCTAATAACAATGGCGGAGTCTGATGATCAAGCGATAGGTCTCAGCATGATCAATAAACACTCCTCAGCGCTTGATCCTCAAATATTCACATAGCTCATAAACAGAACTATGCATGAGAGTACAAGCACCTTAAACACAACATGGGACTTATGTCGAAGGGTCTTAAGAATAGGGTATAATGTATATATTTACTGACAATCATAGGTACGGTAACGATTGGGATTGCTAAAAGTGCACGTGTGTTGGTAAGAGTTTTCCAAGAATACACTTACTATGAAGCTATACATACATATTTTAGATTGCAGTAAACAAACAGACAAGTGTAATAGACACTACAAGAACACGATTGTAACGAAGTAAAAGGTTGACACGTTCATAATCAATTCTTGACCCAATTAAATACACACTAGAATTATGACTTTAGAACAAGCCACCCACCTCTGAAGAGCCTCGCTCACCATTAGGACTGAAACCCTGTTCTAGAATCGCTAGCACTCGCTCCAAGTTCTGCGCTCTAATGGCATCCTCCAGTACCCCTGAGCCAGGAACACCTAAAACCAGGCGTGCAAAAGAAAGGATATAATTCGACGCACGAATACTACATGGAGAGAAATACTTTTTGGTATGAGTATGATTCTACTATGCAGCTCCCCAGTGCAACGATACAAACAGTGGCTGTGATTCTGAATAATCTGCAATTTGACTTGGTAATCTTTCACCAAGCTGCGGGGTTCGAAATTGCTACGCTCAGCCACTTGAACTTTTTGTCGGAATGTGATTGTAACTAGCAATTATGACGGATACAGTTTGTTGAAGTAGTCCTGCTCAATTCCCATTCTGGTCACTTTAAGGAAATAAAACACAATTTCCCCAGAGATCTTAAATGTTGACTGACACTTATGCAGTGAGGTTTCTATCAATATACTGTCACAAAAGAGTAATAACGTATGTTTCTTACCTGTAGATTCCGCTCCAAAACTTCCTGCATCTCCAACAAAGTTGCCTCGTCTTGCATAGTTTGATTCTAAGCGTCCAAATGTTATGGGAGAAGATGTCGCCTGCTCCATTTTGCCAAACCCCGGCGTAGATGGCAACTGCATCCCTGGACTGGGAGGTACACTCCTTGACCGATATACAGCTGCTATATTATGCATCGCCTCTGGGACATCTGCACTAGCGATTCAATGTCAACAATATGGAACAGAGAGTCCAAAGATTATCTGAAGTATGCCTAGCCTTCAGATCAATGGGTAATAGCAACAATTGCGTAAGTAAAACAAGCAACCACTTCAATCATGTGAGTAGATAAACAAGGATGAGTTAGTCCTCACAGACCACGACACAGCCAAGTTAGAAACCTCCATCGGGTTACAATGCACTAACTCACAATCAGATTCACGTTCAAAGATTGCCAATCTTGCCTGAAAATGGTTGGGAAATGTGTTTCTACGACTCAGTGGATTTGGTGCGCGCATCGGGGAGTGCATCATCTGTTCAGAATCGGCGCCAAAGCTGTTATTCCTGTGGGTAGCAGATCTTGCAATCGAACTATCAAGCAGGGATCCGTTGGAAGATCCTTCCGGCCATATTGGTGCCTACAAACTCAAGTTACAAATGGTCAAAATAAAGACGACAAAGAAAATATTTTATCGGGTATACGCAGCGTGCATGAAAAATGAAATATGCACTCGATTTTATCAAACTGCACAGAATGCCGCAAGAAGGAAGAGTTACTTCACTACATCATGTGTATTTAAGACAATATTCCTAGAAACATGAGAACGAACACAGAGGTCAGAAGAGCACTTGATGTGATGAACTTCCGTAGGCACCGTGTCGGAAAGAACTGATCGAATGTTGATCGGATGAAGTTGGTGGCGCTCGAGGATTCGAAACAGATGAATCAATCAAACTCCTACCATGCCAAGGGCTTGTTTTAGTAGAGGCTGGTATGCGGGGCTGCAAATTCCCCATTCGTGATAAATTGTTGTGATTTGACGGGGAGGGCGCGGATGCTCGCCTCCACGTAACCAATGAAGAAGGACCAATAGATGTGGGAGTAAACGAGTTAGCCATTCGCGTTTGATTATTCGTAGGCGCCCAGAGCATTGAGGACCGACTTCTAGCTGCGACAGGAACATTTCCTTCAAAAACCAAAGAATTTGCTTGGGAGGACATTGGACTTGCTCGAGGGATGAGTAAAGGATCCAGGGGGAATCTTCCAGACGTTTGCCTGTGTGTGGTGATATCGCCCGCAGGTACATAATTCCCCTCTCGATTCAACGGAATTCCAAGAGAAGCATACTCATCAGTAGCCAAGGAATTTCGAATATTGTTATAGATATTGAAATCCGTGGCGGAAGGTACATTACTCCAAGTCCTTTCTCCGTTCCCGTCTCCTCGAACAGCTCCTTGCATGTTGTTTGTTTGTAAAGATGTACTTGACGCTACTTCGTTATTGTTCGACAAGGAACGTTGTCCAGTAAACATGTTGAATCCTGTGCTTGCATCAAGGTGTGTTCTTCACGGCCATGGTCTTTCCTCATACGCTGTCATGATGCAGGTATAGGAAACCTCGATAAGCAACAAGATCTGTTAATACTAAGAGCATGATACAAGAATCTCTGATTAGAATAGAAGTATTGAAAGCCTCCAGCCCTTTTTCCAGCTTGAAAACTACTTCTGTTATGATCCATTGTAATGATTGGACTAGAATACCGACCTTGAAAGGATTGAGAGTCAAATTCACCACCTAATCCGAATCAACTCAAGCTCAATAATAGCAAGAAGGCTAATCTAAAGTTTCCATTTGTGATATAACATGATGATGGACATCCTCGTGATGGTTGACAACTAGGCCAATACAATATCTCGTAGAATCTCAATATTCACATGCCAATCTCATACCATCTGCCCATCTTCACAAGGGAAAAAAAATTCAAATACACATCTTATTTTCTACGTAAACATTTCAAAGAGAATCTAAATCAACCAAAAAGGACGTGAGGTAGATTGATGCTGAAAGAAAATTCTCAAGTGGGAAAGTATGATGAAATCAACACTACATCAATTATGCTTAACAATTTCTATGAAATTTCAAATCAACTACAAAAATACTGACTGCATCCAATTCTTTTCATACCAGAATCAAAGATGCCATATGCTACGACATCCACTAATCACCCTGTCAAGAAATGCCACTTCAACACATCCAAAGCCAAGGATCACACAACGATCAAGAACTCCACATTCGCCAGACAAGAAATTAACATCAAGTCTCAACAAACTGGTAAAAATTCAGTTCCATTGACCCCTGCAACTCGACGATCATATTTGACCAGTAGGTCTAGCACACTAACGTATCAGAGAAGATGATAGAGAGGACCCTCTGCTAACTTCTGAATCGAAACCTTATCCTACCTAGGAATAGCAAGCCTATTAAACCAGTTGACGTACGAGATTCTGGGTACTCTGGAGTACGTTTACCAGACCTTGCAACGGGCCAATGCTCGGCGTATACTCACTAGAGAAGCACACAATTTCATTATTCCTGGAATACAGTAAGGAATATGAAAAATGGCATTCCTAACTCCGCGCTTTACTATACCTCTATCCCGAGGTAATTTCACCTACACTCAATCTCAGGTCTCGGTAGTGTAGCCAGAACTGAAGAAGGTCAACTTCAAACCTCACGGCACAAATAAATCAAGAGGCTTATACTTCACACAGGTCCCCTAACCTGCAACAACTTCACAAACCTGATCAGCTGCTGGTGATGAAGAGTTGTGGCGGAGCCTTGAGTCCTGTTTGTTTGTCAGCACCACAAGTTCTTCTTTTTCAGTTCACGTGAACTGAGTGATTTATAATACCACATGTTTTACAGGTTCAACTTCCACATGGATGAGGCCCTGCATAAGTTTCCAGATATGTAAGCAAATAATCCATGATAGATATATTCCTCGTCTCTCCCCGCATGGACTGAATGAATCCTTTTGACTGTTAATGACAATCGCTAAGAGGATGACACTTTCGAGGAGTATCATCATTGTAGCGACTCTTCCGCCAAAAGGAAGCACACCACCATTTAAATTTTACTGCAGTCTACGCCAAGAACCATAAAGAGAACAAAATCATAAAAAAAATATCGTGGCTGAAAATATTGATATCAGAAAGTATAAACACCCTCTGTTAAAAATTAAGATCGGCTGAAGAAATAAATAAAATAAAATAAGAAGAGAGAGAGAGAGAGAGAGAGAGAGAGAGAGAGAGAGATGTAAAAAATCGAAATAGAACGATTACGAACTCCTCATTTATAGCAATTCTGATGAGGGGAACTGCTCTGATTCATTAGAGATAGATTGCTGAAGACGTCAAACATTTGCTCATTCACAATGCGGGAGATCGACCCCCACCCCCTCCAGCAGAAAACATAATGAAAAATTCAAGATACGATTAATTGAAACAAGTGCTTTATCATCAAGACTCGTTCAGATGAGTCCATAAAACGGTTTCTTCAAGTGAAACTACGCTCAAAACCCTAAATGACACTCGTAAGGAAGCTCCACATGGTGAGACCGAATGACTCCCACTGATCTTCAATTGTACCACCTCCCCTCTAATTCGAACCCTTCACCACCTACAACGTCCATCGAATGAAGAAAAATACAACAAAAACAGGAGTGAGCCTGTCATTGTCGAACCTCAATTGGAATTCAGGTGACTAAATCATACCACCAAGCGCATGAAAAACAGGTTCAAAATCAATTGTTTGAACCTTACGGGCTGAATTTCGCAGTTGATCTCCATGTATGCGGAAATGAATGGAAAGCTTACCTGGTGAATGAAAAAGGATAAATGTAATATTATTTTTAGAATATAACCAATTTGGGAATGTTTAGGATCTTTTGTGTGACACACAACGAACAGGACGACAGGCAAAGCGGGCGCTACCAATTGCCGAAGACCAAGATAGTAAAATTGAATTTGGCATCCTCTGCAAAAACCTCACGCAAACCTTCCGCGCGGTGCCACCATTACCAAAACCCCGGAATGGCTCCAAATCTATTCCCCACAACTGTCGAAAAATCTTATTATATAAAAGGATCCCTGAAGTAGCACAAAATATAAATGCCTCATGCAATTATTCACCACATGAGACGACCAATCACCTTCGAAGCAGACGCGGAGCACCGTTGCAAAATGCAGCGCTAAACAAGAAGTAACGCACATACTCACACACACTCTCTCTCTCACACACACACACTCACTGCGGAAGATGAAGGGACCACGGACAACAACGCCCCGCTATAATCCCGGTATAATCCTCCACTCTAGTTCACCGTTTTACCGTGCCCTGTATATGGCCCTCCCCGGTATCCTAAAAGTCGAAACTCTGTCTGGCCTTCTATTTATACTTAGATGCCAGTGTACCGAACTGGAAACCTGCTTCACCATTAAAATATATGAGACGTGCATTGTATGGGCCCTTCATTATAGCACATACACTCACGATGTGTAGAAAATAGCAATTCAGCTTTTTGTTTGAGGAATATGGCTCCAGATTTAGTAGCTCCAGACCTATAGTGCTCACCATCAGACATGATTTTAGAATTAGATGGTGTAATATTTTCATGGCAATCTGACACGTGAATCTATTGTGGCTGAAATTTATCTTTATTTTAGACATGTGGCACGTTTTCGTCTTTAGTGGTTTAGCCACTGCCATACCGTTAATATGCATTCTGTAAAAAACTAAATATATATGTGTGTTTGTTTTTATTTCATCAAAATCAATTACAAAACAAATTTAAACAACATTCTAAAAATGATTATTTCAGGATGAAGTATTAATCTATATATAAACAATGCATATGATAATAAACATAATATGAATATTTACCATAAGAATGTGAACAGGGACATACAAATTACTTTGACCAATTAAACTATACTCTCTCTCTCTCTCTCTCTCTCTCTCTCTCTCAATATATATATATATATATATATAGATATCCATTTTCATTTATTTTTATGATTGTTTGAAACTATACATACATGTTATGTGGAATCTGTGAGTAACTGGAAGTTAAATTTGACACAATCTACATGGTGATATATTTTATGCTTCACCTTGTTGGATACTTCATAGTAATGTAATTATTAAAAACTCAAAGACTTTGACAACAAGAAAACTACAGCATGCTTTGTATACTTATAGTTAAAAGGCTAATAACAACAAAAATGTATAATTTGAAAACTTTACCCAAGAGTTGATAGTGGTGTCAAAAATTGTGACAATAGTGGGGTGGGTATATCCTTCTAATTCCCTTGCCTGCATGGCTTCTGCTGACCCATAGGAACTGTTGTTATTGCAAGCCTTTTTTCCACTTCAGTTGTTTTTAAAGAAACAACAAATTCATATTAATATTGTTTATCAAAACAAATGGAATATCCCCCCTTTAATTATGAGACAGCCCAATAGTTTCTTACCCAGAGGCCTACAGAACATATTAATCTTGAAGTATTTTTTCATTTATGTATTTTTATTTATTATATATATATATATATATATTGAAGTTAGGAAGTTGCTAATCATCTCACCATTTATATGTATGCACTCATCATTAAGAAAATGTATCTAAACTGCTATGGTTTATAGTATTTTTTATTTATATTTATACATATGTGTGTGTGTGTGTGTTTTGGATGTGAAAAAAATATGATTTATGTAGTTTATTTTTCAGACTCTTATCCTCAGAAACATCTAGTTTCATGTCAACTCATTTTCTTCATCTGATTTTGATCTTCATTACAGACACAAAATCGAAATATTTTACACCATCCAGTATGTCATGTCCAAATGCATTATTTGTGAGAAATTGATTTTGTTTGATTATTATTTTTTCTAATTACAAATTGAAAACATTCCACTACCTCCATTCCACAATGTTTATTTATTTAAATATTTAGTACTCTACATCTTCATTGATTGGAATTTGTGGTGGTAGAGGTTTCGTGTGATGGGGAAACTCACCAAAATCCAAGAGAAAAAACTTATCAAAGAACACAAGAAATAGTATAAACTTTGAGATGAGATAGAAGATCTAGTTAACAAGCATAGATTAGGATATCACAAAGAACAGGAAAGGCTCTTATCCACTTGGGAATCTAGTTCATGGACCTCAAAATGTAGGAATGAGTGAGAGAGAATCATGTCTTGAGAGCATAACCGAATCATCAAGAACAACACAACAAAAAGATCATGAAAAAAACATTATAAAAAATCCTGTTAAAAAATAACACAATTATTTCATTTTTCATGCAAGACCATCAAATGAATACATTTGTTTTGCTGTAAATATTCGCCTGTAATTGTTGCTCGCATTACAATAATGATAATAAAAGTCTAACCATTAGTTTATTTCTATGATGCTTCGAACCATATAGTTTAACTACTTGCAAATCTTTTTATTGAAGAATGTATAAATTTGACAAAAAGTTTGTAAGTAAATAATTATATTTTCAAGCGATTTTTTTTTCCAATTTTGATATTATTACTAGTGTACTTATTCCAAACAAGATAGCTACTGTAGCTCTACCGTAGTATTGTACGACCAAGACCCCGTTCACACGGCGGCTTTCAAATGGCCGGTAAGTACACCGACCGACCGACCGACTTACCGACCGACGGCACTGAATCGTCTGTTTTGAAAAGCGGCTCTGCCCACAACTTAGGATATATTGGAAGAGGCCTCATTGCGGATAACCCAAGTTATAAATACGGTAAAAGTTCCGAACATGGAAACAGTATAGATATCCAGAACCGTACTAAATACGACGACGTTGACGCTGTCTGACGCCGTCTGACGCTTGCGACAGTCGGGCTGTCAATGTCCGTCCTGGTCCCAAGCCCCCCTTCTGGTTTTGCTCGCTCGTCACCATGTGTGTGAACGCATCCATCCATACATTCATCCACACGTGCAATGCTTTCTTCTTCGACTGCAAAGCCGCCTCTTTCTCAGTCTCACTACTACCACTACCGATATGCGCTGTGCACGCGAGGCAGGCTGCTGCATTGTTGTGATCGTGCTGGAGAGTGTTGGCGGTGTGCGGAGTGGAGGGGAGTGGAGTGGAGTTCATTGGAGTTTCTAGTCGGAAGCCGAGATTCTTTAGGCTCCCTGGCTGGTGTGTGTGTGTGTGTGTACTGACCTTTAACTTGGAGCGGCGTGTGTGTATGTGTGTGTGTATGGGAGGTACTCCTGGATCGTAGCTCTGTTCCTTGTCTGCTGAAGTGGTCCGCACTATAGTTTTCGGTTGGTATGTTTAAAATGTGGAGAAGGAGTAGGATGTGGTGGTGGTTTTCAAGGTTTTGCTGGCTTTATTTTGCACAGTTTCGGTAGCTGTCGGTTTGCCGAGAAGATTTTGTGCGTGGAGGTTAGTGGTTTCGACGTTGGTATTATTTGTTGCGGTAGCTGTTTAGACGGCTTAGCGATCTCTCGTCCGTACACATTATATCGCGAACTTCGTACTTTATTGACAAAGTACCGTTGTTTTCAGTTCTTTTAGTTAATAACAGCTTTTATTTTATTTTATTTTATTTTTCGGGTTTAAATGTCAGGAGCTGCTTTCTTCTGTTTATATGGGATGTGCATTAAGATTTTGGTATAGGAGGAAGCTTCTGTCGGTAGTTAGCGCGCATCTCTAAAGTCAAACGTAGGAATTCCTCAATGCTTACTCATTATGGTTTCTGCTTCTGTTCAACTGTTCTTGTGGCATACGAGTAGCTTGGAATGTTAGATTACAATGCCAATCTTCAATTACATACGAAAAGTTATTGTTCATAAAATTGTTGGGGTAGGATAGTTGTTTGAAGGATTCTTTCAATTAAACAGATAATTTTCATCCTCATTATCCGCCTGGTGTGTTTAAATGTATTACTCACACAATTCTACGAGCTGGGCGCCGCAATGCTATGACTGTGCGTGGAGATGGGTTTCGATTCACTTTCTCTAACAATGCTGTGCTTTGCGAGTCTGTATTAGGGGCGACTGAACTTAAAAACCAGTTCTTTTGCACTTAGACAATTTGTTTCTCACAGTTGTGTGTCCGTGCATGCAGGTAGAAAGTCGGGAAGGCATGCCTACAATGCTTACTGTCCAGGGGGTTATTACTTCATGGAAGTAACACGATATCGAATTAAGATTGTCAACACACAGCGAAGGGAACCGTCATTCTAGACTGGAATGTGCTCATCCTGTTCGGGCAGCTAGGGTAAAGTTTGGAAATCATGGAGATGGAAAATAACATGAAGGAAAATTGGAAGCAGGAAATGTGGGAGAGGTCAAGAGATCGAATTGCAGAGATTTATCAACGTGTTTCTTCTATGTATGTTTCTGCTTTATCTTTATCTTGCCCCCCCTTCTTTCTTCATTTTTTTCTCTTTCTAAAGGCTCATCATGATCATTAGTGTGGAAATCCACACCCTCACCGGCAAACGTGACAGATACTTACGTTGACGCCTTTTACTTCTTATAGTTTCAATAACAGTGATTTTGAAAACCTCGTGTGTCTGCATCATTCGGGTTGTCGCATGAACTTCACTTCGTGCAGGCATTTTTTGTAATTTTCGGATAGTATGGCTTTACAGTCGGCCTGCAGGATGTTCGCACTCTATGAAATTCTAGTATTTTTTCGATTAATTTTCCCAAGTTTGAAACAAGAACAGTTTTAAGAAATGACTACATTCTGCTTCCAACTACCAGTACATGTAACACTCAAGAACATCTTTACCGTTTGTTTGTTGATGGATTAACGTGTTGGTGTTGTATGACAGCGACATAGAAGCGTTTCTTAAAACGTCCATTATAGGAATCGTTGGAAAGGACATCATCGAACATGCCCGGCGGAAAACTTCCGTTGTAAGGAATGCGGGAAAGAACATGCTTTACCAAGCTCGGCAGAAGTATGACTCTAAGGGCCTAGAGAAGCATTTAAAGCTGAGGAAATTCGTTGCGGGTATCCGCTCGGGGCGCTTGGGATACTTGCTTTTAGTGTTAGCCGCTCTCTGTACATTGACCGTACCATTGATGTTCCAGAGTACATACATTCCACAAGAGGACTGGGAATTGGAAAGAGCTATGGCCATTCAGTTTCATCAAGGAAGGTATTTACCTTGTATCGTGTTATTTGATTTGGTCATGAATGTGGATCTGTTGTATTTCAAAGTAAGTTTTCTGACGTCAATGTCTTTCCAGATGTCCTGCGCATGGAGAACCTGATTACTTTTCGCTGTGAGCATAGTGCGCTGTCTAGCGATTTTTTGATGTTGGAATTTGGGATATGCTGCAGAGGGGTGGATGAAACATTTAATCGAAAGATGAAGCTCGCGCAGGAGAAAAATCTTATTTATGAAGAGGGGAAAAAATCATCGGAAATCTCTGTAAGCAAACCTAAACGCTTGGCAGTAGTATCAGGCATGAAAAGGAGCGGATAAGACAAGTTTACTTCTAAAGGGGAGACTGCGACATTGCTCACATCTGAAGTCGTCAAGCTTTCTGATTCTGTGCAGCACAGGTGGAATTCTGGTCAAGTAGGGAGGGAGGTTTCTGGAGGCCATGATGCCTACATACTGGATTCGGAGGTCAACATTTTTGCGGGAAAGAATGAGAGGCAGCACAAAGTAATATCAACGAAACCTGCAACGCGAGGAAGAAACAGGTCGAAACGCTACAACATTATCGAAGAAGTTATCAAGCGCGCTCTTGAAAAGAGTACAGCTGGCTTCGATGAAAAAGAAACTGAACAAGATATCAAGTTAGATTCTCATGCAGTTGTTCTATCGGAAAAAACTATGTCATTAAGTGATACTCAAGAATCGTTGAACATGACTCCTTTAAGAGCTAATTCCACCGTTGACTCTGAGGGATTATCCAATGGGTTTTCTGAGGCATTCAATGAAGTACTGAAGCTGGCAAGTGAAGCCAATAAAACAGCAGGGAAACATTCTGTTCATCTGCAGGAGGAGGCCTCAGTGACAGAGTCCTTACCCACTCACAAACCTGCAGAGCTTGATGTGCAAGTTCGTGAAGTTGTTGACCGTGCTTCCCAAAAGCTTTCAGAAGCGGAGGATGAGCCTTCTGGGAAAGGTACAATTGCTTCGTTCGGACTCTATTCTGAAGAAAACAAAGAAAACGTATCGGTTGGTGAGGGCATGGAGGCTTCTCATAATACTCCTCAGACCAAGCCCATGTTTGCCAAGAATGTAGAAGAGGGTAAATCTGAATTACTCAAATCTAACTCAATGGAGGATAAAGATAAACATCAAACTAACATCCTATCAGGCAATGAAGGAAACACTCTAATTCAGACACAAACCAGCACAGCTAGCAGAGATTCTGATGTTGTAATGGCGAATGTTGGAAAAGTCAAATCCATGGATCTTAGCACAGAAAATGTCGATAACTCTAATGAGTTGAAGATCATCCAGGGACGTGACCCTGAAGTTACAGTAGTCGAATCAAGTAGGGAGGCTGGTAATAGCCTGGAGAATTCTAGCGAATCAATCGTCAATGCTACGGAAACTAACAACAATTTCACAAGCATGAAAGATGAAGATGACATAAAGGTAGTTGGTGTGATGGATGGTGAAAAACTTGATGACGATGCTGCTGAAGAACAGGAACTGCAAGCTGAAGTTCGGCAAGAGAATAGCGATGAGTGGCCTCAAGAATCTGCGCTTATCTCTTCATTGAGACTGAGAGCTACATCTGGTACGCTAAGAGTCGGACTGTTGAACATGGAGGCAACAGATTTTCTGCGCTGGCAATTTCTTGCCGGTGAAAGGCCAATTATTATTCCATTCGAGAGAGTGAACGAGGCAGTGGACTGGAATCAACTTTATCCAGAATGGATAGACGAGGAAGAGACATATGGAGCTCCCATATGTCCCGCAATCCCTATGCCAAAGATTAGCCCTGAAGTACAGCTTGATGTAGTGATTGCGCGTGTCCCTTGCGCTTCCTCTGCTCTCCAAGAAGGTTGGAAACAACCCGCTTCCCTTCAGGTATTACTTAGACCATGAACAACTGTGTGCATTTTGAATTTTTCCTTTTCCGCTGTTTGCGAGACTGGACGCTGTAAAAAAGTTCCTATCAAGTGGTAGTGGCTTACTTCGGTATCAAAGTACACTCCTATTTTCATTTTATTACTTTCTAGACATTGAACGAGCACCTTTCCTGAAATTTTCTGAGACATCACAATGTTCTTTTTACTCTTACATCTGATTGTTGTGTTTAGGAACACAAAAATTGCAGTTTGTTCATATTGCACTTGTATTGAAAAACGCTGCCAAGTATTAATACCATTGAACTGCGATTACAAATCAACAGGTCCTCCTTGGAGCTGCAAGCCTTGCCGTGAATGCAGGAAATGGAAGTATTTATGTGCTCATCTTGAGTGAATGTCGACCTCTTGTGAATCTCTTCTCTTGTGGAGAACTTCTGGAGCATCGTGATCAGGGCTGGCTTTATCAAGTGAATGTAGAACAGCTTAAAAAACGCACCTCGATGTCTGTTGGTTCGTGCCAGCTTTCTATCCCTCTTCGAGGACAAGGTATTATATTGCTGTTTGTCATCTTTTTACGCAAAAATCCCACGTCTCTTAATCCATCACGTATATTGGTGTAAAAATCTTCCTTGAGATGTTCTCAGATGATGTTTATATTTGTAGAATTCATAGAAATTCCTGGCTCAACCGTAGAATGCTGAAGTGATACTCTTACACAAGCTTTAATTACAAACATTGTAGAAATTCTACCTAGCACAAAATGAGACGGACTAATCCTACTAGTGTAACGGCAGTAATGTGGTTAAGGAATTTCCTTGCTAATCTGCACAAGTGTGGCTACTATGGCCTACTTTAACACAAGTTCGGAAGGCTTGGAAATCTTGGAAGATTGATCCATACTCTACTTTAATGTGTGTTCCGTAATGCAGATACCTCATTAGATACGGGAGCTTCGAACTTGCATAAAGAAGCATATGTTACTATTCTTCACTCTGGAGCAGATTATGTTTGTGGAGCAATTGTAACCGCTCACAGTATTCGCAAGACAGGCTCCACCAAGGACCTTGTTATCCTCGTCGATAGCAGTATTTCGCCTGAGCAAAGGCAGGCACTAGGAGAGGCTGGGTGGGAGGTGCGTGATTTGGAAAGGATATACAAGTCGAACATAGTGGAAGGGAAACAGTGTGAGAAAGACTTCAGCAGATTTCGGTTGTGGCAGATTACTGATTACAACAAGGTTATCCTCCCGCCCACGATTCTGAATTATCTCGTATATTAAGTGCTTAATGTACTTTTTGCATCTTTCTTCGTTTGATAACAAGCCCTTTGTGATCATGATCGAAGCTTACAGTCAAAGGAAGTTAAATGAGAAGTAATGGGAAACAAGTACGATGGCTGAATTTAACTGGGGTTTAGTGCTCCGGGATATTTTAAATGACACCCCAACCATTAGAATGGTTGCAATTAGAAGTGACCACAAGTTAGAGATTCACTTAATTTAATCTCTAATTGAACTCCTTTATATCATTGATCCTAGCCTTCGGATGTGGCTGACGCTAATCTTAAATATTTTGCAACTTTATTATGTGAAGATTTGAGAGCAAATTTACATCATTGTTTGGGATTCGATTAGTGGTAATTGAAATGCAGCAAACCATAAGGTAGGTCACCCGTCTTGTCAAATTGTCAGAGTGACATATTGGTTTAGTTTTTGGGTGGTCTGATGTCAATCAAATTAATACACTTGATTTTCAAAAAAAAGAACAGATCATGAATGATTGTGGAATAGGTAATACATGAAGTGGTTGTTGTAAGTACCAATGGATTGCACACTGTTGCTTCAGGTGGTGTACGTTGAGGCGGATGTCCTTGTGCTTCGCAACCTTGACCATCTTTTTAGCATGCCTGAAATTTCGGCAAGTGGAAGCACGAAGACCTTGTTCAATTCTGGTGTGATGGTCGTCGAGCCTTCCAACTGTACTTTCCAACTTCTTATGGATGAGATGGAAAAGATTATATCAGAGACCGGTGGTGATTGGGACTTCTTCAACAGAATTTTCCCTTGGTGGCATCGGATTCCCAAGCACATGAATTATCTGAAGTATTTTTGGACAAGATCACGAACTAGTGAGGTTGACTCCTCGAACAGGTGAACAAGTTCTCAAAGCTTCATACTTGCCTTAATACTCTACAACTCAAGTAGATGTTTGAAACTACTGCACAAATATGTCACTTGTAGAATGACATAATCTTATTTATTTCAATGATGCATCAAGTCAGATGCAACTATTTGTTGCTTTTTCAAGTTTTCATTGCCCTTACCCTGTCCATGTACACTAGTTCATACCAGTACCTAACTAGATCTGTCTGTGGCCCTTTGGTTTTTATTCATTGAAACTCACTTGAAAGCATTTTCGGTTTATCAGGAGTGAGTTTCTTAATTCAAAGCCCAGCACATGTTATACTTGGCATAGAATCCTCTTTGGCTCTTGCAATTGGCTGATTTTAACACATGGGGCTTTGGTTTGATTCTGTCCAGGCTGTTTTCCGCGGAACCTCCTCAGTTGTATGCCATCCACTATTGGGGATACAAACCTTGGCAATGCTTTAGAGACTATGACTGCAACTGGAATTCTAACAACCACTTTGCCAGCGATGAAGCCCATGCTCGATGGTTCAAGGTACAAAATTTCTTTTTTCTCTGACACTGAAATGGAGCTGTTTTCCCTACAGAACTTCGTGCCGTAAGACGATGATGTTCTTTGATTGCATTTCACGAGTCGGACACTGGAGATTATCTATTTCAACTTGTTCCAGTATCTCGTCCATGTCGTTCCATCAGTATCATCGTGCGCCGAGAAAACTATGAACATACGTTGACATTCCATTCTATAGACTATTTTCTGTTGTTCCTCGCCAGTGTAACTCACTGTAACTGGTTGGATGTTATGAATGTGCAACAGGTGTACGATGAGTTGCCGGAGAATCTGCAGAAGTTTTGTTCACTGTCCACAGGTACAAAGGCGTACCTTGAACATAACAGGCGGGTAGCTGAGGCTGCAGCCTTAGAAGACAAGCACTGGGCTATCACCATCACTGATCCAAGATTGAACGTCTGCCTAGAGAACCATTGTGACTGGAATGCTCTCCTCTCATATTGGGATAAGACTGTCAATTCCTCGAGTTCAGTGCTTGCCTGAACGAAATGAGCAGAAATGAGTTACATCAACTGAGAAGCTGGTTGCGTACATTAATCCATTGCTTCGGGAGTGGACTTCTCTGCACTGCTGAAAATAATGCCAAGTGTGGAGATCGGCGACTTCTGTTCGTTCCATTAACTGCCAGCGAAAGAATAATTTTACAAGCTTGGAGGCTTTTAAAGGTGTCATCATGAGATATTCTTGTGTTCGATGGGAAGGCACTTTATTTTTGGCGCGACTTCCGAATCTTGACGTGATGACTGCAGAAGTCTTGGGCCTCGTGGTGCAAAGATCGTCTCGAACCCGATTAAAGGTGGAGGTCCTCGGGAGACCCACGGCTTTTCAAAGTTGTGTACTATTTCGGATCATGAGCAATCTTTATGATTCTTGCAGTGAAACTTGAAGAGTTTATTTCGTAGATGCCTGTGAGGTAGCTTACGCTTCGCACTGCATTCTGCGACATAACAATCACTTATACGTTATGAGAGTGACTGCACACGATTTCAATGACGATGTTCAGTATAAGTGCGGTGAGCGCGGTTCACGTGGTGATTCTTTGCGTCTTCGTGATGGACCTTACGAAGAAGTGCCGCAATTGGACTTCTTTTAGTTGACAACCAAGTGTGTCAAATACATCGCCCAAGACATCATAAAAAAATCCATCTAATCAGTTCTCACTTACAAACCAGTCTGGAATTGACATTTGACTAGTTGACGTGGCATCATATTCGTATTTGTATACTGTCTTTTCCAGGTTAAACTAGAAAAAATTGCTATAATGAGGATGTTGCATTACATTCCATCTGCTAAATTTACAGGATAAAACTTCATCCTTGGTAACCAGTTATTAGACACTCCACACATAGCACTTGCACAGGCTTCTCACTATTACAACCATTGAACATGTGGAAGCTCTACTGTACAAGGTAGTACGGCTGCGACTCCAGAGACACCGTCATCCAAGCGTGAAATTAAATTATAAATAGTGATCGTCGCCAACGGAGTTATTAATCAAATTAAGCGTAAGACATGCAATGAAGGATTCCCGAGCTATGCCATTGTGCGGAACTCTGTGATAATGCACGCTACGATTAGTGTCCTGTAAGAAGATAATAACCACAAGAAACATGAGGTAGCACTACCAAACCAAAGGTCCACAGAAAGGGATGGAACATATATTTATTCGACTTCTCCTTAGAGCCAGAGTCAGACTCTATTACTTATTCTGAAAACTGCCATATTGGATACAAAATGATTTGAAAAACCCAGATGGGGATATGGTACATACAATTAAAATGCCAGTCATAGATAAAACTAACATGAATAGCACTCAATGACAGATCTATCTAATGATCTTGCACAGTAAAAAAGAAAAAAGAAAAAAAAAAGAATCGTGTAGTAACCATAAGTGATCACTTCCTACTAACCTGCATAACGCAGATATTAGTAGGATAGGGTCTGAGGACTGCCCTCTTCATACTCGGCATCCCAGTTCTGATAGAGCAGAGCAGCTGCAGCCCGAGCTGCTACAGAAGAGCTGTACTTCTTCCGCAGTGACGCCAGCAATGCATCGTGAGATTCCTGAATACGAAACAAATAATTACTCATGAATGGTACTACTAGAAGTCATAGAAAAAATGTGGAGCAATCAGGACCCTATCAAAGATCAGCACATACGATTCAAGATTAGTCACGGGTGAGAACGTCACAGAAACTGAGACAACTGACAACAATCCAGGACTACCACTCAACCATAAAACCACCAATATAATTGATCAGGAGATGCAGGTCAGGACATGATACTGACAGCATCTTCTCAATAACTTGACAGTCTAAAGGTGCATCAAAGTTTCCAACAGAATTCAGCAAGAAGAAGACGCCAAGTAACCAAATATATCTAAGGACCATACCTTCAACACCCGAACTTCTTCTTCAAGAGCGGCTGCTGTTTCTTTCTGGAAATCAGACGGAAAACCACGTGTTACTCCTTAAAGAATCAACCATTCATAAAGAGCACCACTTGGAAAGAATTAAAAGCCCGACTGTTCGTGATAGAACTGTATCAATTCCATCACATTCTCTATTGAGACGCAACTTTGAAGTTGAAAACGACTCGCCCCGCCAACAAAACGGTTTTCTCCTAGTCTTGCTCGCGTTACTGAGTTGAAGACAGAAAGTATAATACCTGCCGACTTATTTTAACTTGCAACTCAAGACTACGTTGGCGTTCTTCAGCCAAAGCTCGCATAGCTGCTTGTCGATTCTTTTCTGCGGCCTGCACTGCTTTCCGCAAATCGTCCACACGATCCTTGAAACTCTCCTATATTCCATGAAGATATTGAAGCCAGAAGATTGTCAGAAAAAGGAGTGTTGTCCAATTTCTAAGATATGGGCTAATCTTAGCATACACTAAATTCAATACTACATGAACCAAAGAGTCATTATCAACACCCCAACACAGGACCACCTGGCATCCTGACAATAACTCACACTCGACAATAACAACTAAGACTAGCTCTCTAACAAAAACTCGGTAAGCACTCTAAAACTGTATTACAATTAACATTCAATAAAGTCGTAAACATCCTAATAAAGACATAGATATCTTGTTCAACCCAACTCTCCAAGATTCAGATATGAAAAACACCATCAGAGTCACGCCTCTCTCACCTCATACTTATCTTGCCAACCGTTGCCACCCGGCCTCGAGCTTCCCTCCATCCTGGACTTCTTCGACTCTACTTCAAAGTCAACAAGAGTTTGTTTGTCGCTGCTCCTAGCGTCCAATTGGGCTGCAATTGAAGCATTCCTGGGCCTTCCGTATTTTTCCAATCCAGATACATTCCCCAATCCTTTGGGAGTGAAAAAGACGGAGAAGAGGCTGCGAACGAAGTTCGGCTGCTTCTCAGATGGTTGCTCCATTGGAATCGAACGAAGAGGCAAGTTCTGACTGGACATTCTACATGTGCTTGCCACAGCATCGGAATCCGCTCTTGTAATGCTTGGATCTTCAATTCCAGCATGTACACTGCCTATTCTCTTGAAAGGGAGGTGACTCTCTTGGAGGTTTCCCTCACTTGATCCGGAAATGCTCCCATCGCTCGCAAGTTTGTAGTTGATCTGATCAGTTGCAGCATCTACAGGAATTGAAGAATCCTTAGCCATAGGGGTAGCTTGAGAAGCTCTTCCAGAACCACGGCGAGAGGGTGAGCTGTTCTTAAAAGGATACACAGAACTCGGTGCCTCATCTCCCACGACCACCAGCCCTTCATATAGAATCAAGCGATCCGAGCGCCGAGAACCATTCATTGAATTGGGCTTTGATTTCGAGCGAAGACGATACTTCAAATCTTCTCCATCGACAGGAAAATCCAAACCTGGAAACATGTCGAGATGTCTTCTAGAATTTGCAGAGGTTGTACAGCTTGTGGTCATGTCATCACGCCAATGTGCTCTTAATATCCTTCGTCTCACGGGTTGCCCATGTTGCTCATGAAACATTTCTACAATAGAGTACCCAAGACCAAACAGGGCTACCAGCACCCCAACAAGTAGTCCAAACATTGCAGCATTTCTAGGTACATTTGTCGGAAAATGTCTCCAATATGGAGCAGAGGATATAGATGAAATGAATTCTGTAGAGCCAAAAAAAGAAGTTAAGAGCGTGCTGTTGGAATACTGTGTTTGGACAGCATTTGTAAAAAAGTAAAAATGTTTGCATCTTGCTACTGTTTATCAACAAGGTGTTCAGCTAACAACTTTGGAGTAGAACTAAAAAGTGTCATTTAAGATCTTGAGTAGCAGTATTTCAAAATCATTCAAATCTAACCATCTAGTCCACACAATACGATCCAAGTGACTACTTAAACATTGTCTCATAATCATAGAAGGGAAATTACTCAAATAGATAACAAACCTTGACTTTGTTCACCCATGTTATCTAGAAGCTCTGACATACGTATGCCAACGTCTGCCCTACCCACATCAACTTTGTCCACCAAAGATGAATCTGGTTGCTGCAAGTCCCTATGCACACTGCTTCCTCCCTGCGAAAAGCGTAATTAAGTTAAATTGCCGCTATTTGCTGTTTCACAACATAGGAGGCAACATATCACGAAACACTTTACCCGCTAACCTCGAAATTTCATAGCTTGCCAAAAGGTGAAAGTGGAAACCATAGCTCATGACAAAAATCCTGATGATAATTAAGAGCGAATTCAGGGACGCCTAAGTTCAAAAGCAGTATAACAGACTATGATCCACTGGATAGAGAACGCTCACATAAAATAAAAAACCTTCTTCGCCGAGTAGCTTCCACAAAGCTTGCCGAGATGAGGATCCCCACGCACCAGTGCCTAGTACCCCATGAGCTATTTGGAACTGCTGCAATGCCCTCTTTGTCTCTGGTCCAAAGTACCTGATAAGAAGTACATCTTCAAGGTGATTTTTTAATTTGAAAAGAGATTCGATACAAAACAAAGAAATGTTGAAGCTGAAAAAATTGAATCAAATAAGCAGGTTGAGCGAGAGTAAGAGCCATACGCAGTTAGCTCTGTACGCTTTGAAAGATAACCGAACCAGTATAACGCTGTCTGTTCATTACCAGAACATTCAACTGTAAGATGAAGGGCACGTATGCTCAGCTCTGTTGCATTGTGCACTAATATAACATATTCACATACTGTTCTGATCCAAGGTAGGGAAGCAGGGACTTCGGCAGCCTTAAATGCTCACCAGCCTAGTTTCAAGAGACATTTCCCTAATTCTACATCAATCCACTTCCATAACCCTAAAAACACCATTACGCTCGATAATCAAACTACTGTGCAAGGATGAATCGAATCACCGAGCTGAGAAACTTCATTTCATGACAGTGACTAAACCATACGCGCAGAAGAAGAGACTCTTTAAGCATAAAAACACCATATCACCCATACGCAAGCCATATGGCGAACCAACCTGTAAATCTAAGACCTCAGCTCCTGAGTCGCCTTCCCAAATATCGCCAGAAAATCTTAGATCCTGAATTCTCTGATATTGTGAATTAGATATCTCATTCTCCAGCGCTCTACCATGTGACTCCCTGAACAACCCTGAACTTACTTGTTCACCAACGTGTCCTGTACCCAAAGACAAGGTATCTTTCAGGTGCACGGCTCCTTCAGCGGGTTCCGGATTCTTGGCGCCGCGATCCCGACTTCCAATGTCCACTCCAACGATCTCCTTTGCTCTTCCTGACTCGAAACACCTCACCCGAGATCTATGTATACTTACTTGAGTACGTTTTCCCAATTTACCCATCGGATTCGAAGTAACCGACGTTTTCCTACAAGGCATGCCCAACTTTGAAGCAGAAACACCAATGCAACTCCCAGAGGCGCATGGTGTACACCTTTGGTGCAAGAATTCGATGAAGTTATCATGAAAGATTCCAGTTCCCGTAGGTCCAGAAAGTCTTACTGAGTATCTCATGCACCACCAGTTGCTCCTCCGTAAATCTCTGAGGCTCTCGTAACTTGATAGCGAGTTGTAAGGTGAGCCATGACAGTAACTTCGCAGATCACAACGACTACCGGTTGTCACCACCATCATGGACAAAGCTTGCATTAAATGAGAACATTTAGAGTGGTTTTACGTTTCAAGGGGCCTCATTGAAGAGAGTCGAAAGATTTTGATTCGCTATTTCCACCGGAGCAGAGCGGACAGCAAGGATGTAACGCATTACCATGAAATGATTTCATTCCATATTTTATGCAGAGATTTCAAGGATTGTGCTCCAGGTCCTCTCAATTGTAGTGCTCAACCAATACCATGATAATTCCTCAGTTCTTGATTAATTCTCACGAAGATTCCAAATGTTGATGTTCGCGCGTGACTGCATGAACAGCATAAAAACCTTGTTAAATAGCCCCAAATCACTGGAGTCCAACCCCTGAAAATTAAGCTCTATTCTTTTAGGTTTTACACTCCTTTTCTACAGCTACACAAGAAGTAGATTCTTTCTACAACGCTAATCTACAGTGTCGGTGGACACGAGAACTTGAGCAGAAATAACTGCCTGGACCTACATTTAAAACATTTGCATAGTAAGTCGCGCAATCAACTCCAGCACTGCTAGCATGACCACAAGAGGAACTACTCATGGAAGAAACGTTGCCTTTGCTGTGAAAATAAATTAAACATAAAAAAACATGTAGTAGTAGCAATAAAATTAAAAAGACAAAGCTTCCGTAATCCTGACAAATTGACGGAGATCTTAAAAAAATCGTGCCTCATGCATAACCAAACTATACTGTCCGCAAACTGATAAATAGAAAATTCGAAAGGAAGCTCGGGTCAAGATTCCCAACATTAGAAATTGCTAAGGGGCATTGTACAAGAGCATTCTATTAAAATTAATGATTTCAATCGACTAAAAAACTGTGTGGCTGCTAACAACAACACCCCATCCGAAAAATGACTGTACTATGAAAGCAACAAGGAAGAGTAGAAATTTTCCAAACGCGAGTCGTATTCACCAAGCCATATCGTTTTTTTTAATCTTTAAATCACTTTTTTAAAATTAAAACAGATTATTTAAAGAAATAAAAACAACAGCAATCAAAAGCGACGGACCGAACGACAGCAGGTCCACATTTGAGAAGCGCTACACGATCCTTGGACTAAAGAAATGATAAACCTTCACACCCGAAAGATATCGCTTCCACACTATGCATCTCGTTGCCAGAGCACATCCTTCAGCATACTCAAACACCACAGCTAAAAATACCAGGACCGTGATAAGGTCCGACGACGAATCCCCATACACAGCAACATCGCAGGGGAAAACCCGAACAATACCTCAGAACACGATATGCCCCCCGTGCACCAGCCCGGCCTAAACCACAAGAAGCCCCTTCGTCTATCAACTCTCCATCGGCCGGGAAGCCAAACGCACAACTAAAACAATTTCGATAGTGGTGGCAGAGTCCACCCTACAACTTTCCCCGCCCGTGTTAAGGTCCACAATCACCCTAAAACACTCGGGAACGACGACGCGCAAGGTACGCAGCCCCTACGTCCCAAACCTTGGGCCAACCACTAAACCCCATTCCGCGCGTGGATGGAGCACATTCAACGCCCGCATCCACTGGCTACTACTGGCGCCACAAAGCCCGAAGACGACGCCAAGCCCGCGACACGGACAATCCGTCCGTCCGCTGCCGACCTCGATCCTCAAAAGCAACGGACACGGCCGTCACGTGCAATACACAAACAATTATGGCGGAAAGAAAAACAAAAAAACACAAAAAACAAAAACAAAACAAAAATTTTAAAAACCTAAAAAGGAGGAAAAGAACTTCGGCTCACCTGCTACCATCGCCTAATCCTCACGTTTCGTATCCTGGTCCGTGTGCATGCATCGATCGGCGATTCCATCACAGATTGATTCCAAGGAAGCCTCTCTCCCTCGCACTCTCGCTCTCTCTGCAACTCCGCCATGGCCAGGCTTCGTCTTGGCGCTTGTCGGAGACACTGGGCCACGCGGGCGCTCCCGCCCTGGCCACGCGGCTCCGACGTGGCGGGGTCCCTCGGGGTGACATGGCCATGTTGGCTTGGCCTGTAGCTGAGGTGGACTGCCATGTCACTGACTGCCTTTCCATTCCTGTGTGCGATTCCTTTCTTTATGCTTAGATTTGTGTGAAGATTGAATGTAGAGGAAAATTGTTTACTTCCTAACACTTTTTAACAAGTGGATTTGAAAGCAATATATCATGCATGTATAAATAAATAAAAAACTGCATTAGTAGTCTATTGTGTCATGCATTATTAAGCCGCTATGTGGCACTCTTGACTTCCAATTTATAAATATTTAAGATCTAAACTCAATTGTATTATTTTATTTTTATTTTATTTTAAAGATTACCCTATGTTTGTGTTATATTTTAATCTTACTACATTTGATTTTCTGTAGAAATTGTACATTTATATTATTATTCTAATATAATAATTACTCTATATTTTGAATTTTTAAATATATATTTTTTATTAAATGCATATTGTCTATATGCACAATTCTCTTAATAATGACAACATTTGAAATCTAAAAGACAATGCTTGTGTGAAAATAGTTTGTTTCTACATAAAATCTTTCTATGAACTCTACTTTTTAAGACTAGAGATTAGTTTATATATGAATAATGTAGCCCATTTCTAAATATATTTGTCTTATATGCATATTCCAAGTCTATGAAAATAGTTTCATGTTGATGTTGAATAAAGAAAACAAGATTTGCATCCGTGTTTGGACTAGTTTGTCTCTTCTATTTGTTTAAAACTACAATTTTGTGCCATATGATCCAAAGAAACATACCTAATATACATGCTTGAGATAAAAACCAAACATCTAATTTATTAAAAGAGAAGTCTCAATCAAAAATTTGGTTTCTACTATTCATATATCTATCAATATTTTTTTTATAAGTCATAAATTTAGTTATTAAGGACCAATAATATTTATTGGGTTTGGAAGTAAGTTTATTCATAAGTCCAAAAAAGAGTTTAATATTTTTGTTACAATTACATTAAGACTTTGTAGTCTTAATGTAATTTAAAGCTACTTTAGTCATTTTTTTGAAATCCATCTACTTAATGTTTTGGCTTATTTAGATGAGAATGTTCTTGGTTCATAGATAAATTTTATCATAATACAATCTTCATAACTATACATCTATTTGACACAATTTTATTTTGATAGGTTTAGACTTTAAAAACCATGTATTCTCTACCACCTCTTTATACTGAACATAATCCAAAATATATATTTTATAAGCAAATATAACATCTTCTAAACTCAAAGATATTGAACATAACATATAAATTATTATTTTATATCTTCTAAATTCAAAGATAATCCAAAAATATATATTACAAAGCTGTATTATTTATGCTTGTTAAGCACCATCTAATAATAGCCAATTATGGAATTTATTGATTAAGTTTTTTATTGAACAAATCTTTCAGTTCTTAGCAATTTTGAATGTAGAGGAAAGCAAAATCAATCAATACGTTTATTTGTAAGTAGAAGCATTGGATCCTACCATAGAAACCTATTCTAAGTAGTATAAAAACAATTTAGATTAAATAGTAGAATGAATAATACCATAGTTGTCTATATTTTTTTAGTTTTGCTCCAATTATTGGAACTTGTGTTTTATATGGTGTTATTTTTCAATACTTATTTAAAGTCAAACCATAAATTACTAAAAAAAGTAAGTTTCATACACATTTCAGTCTTCTTAATTCTCATTTGCTGAAAAAAATTTAGTTGGATCCTCAAAAATTATAACTTTCAATTCATTTTTTTTCTTTAGTTTGGCAACACATAAGCTACAAAACTTTAGATTATGCCAATGTTTGTGTATTCACTCTAAGAAATTGTTTTTACCATACTCTTAATTTCACAAATGGCTTTTAAGGTACACATTTATATAACAAGGAGAAAAGATGCAAAAGAAAAATTATGGTTTTAAAAATGATCACTCTTCTACCCATACTAAATTTTATAAGGCACTAATAGTCTGTTTTGTATTTGAATACATGAATTAAGAATTTTTCAATACCATGTATTTGTAATCATAAGCCAAAAGTTGTGCCAAAACATTTACTCAAATTAATTTGAAGAAGCCCAAGTCTATTCTAAAAACATTATCTATATAAATCTCATTATTTTCTTACATTGCTAATAAGCTACAAATCTAGACTAATTTATCTATAATCCTAAAGCCAAGCTAAGTTTATGCATAATTTTAATTAAAAATGGTATATTAGAGTCCTCTCCTTTTGTAGTGAATGTTGAGCCATATAAATTTTACCATCTAATTTTTTAAACAAACAATTCTATACTTAAAACATGCAAATTCCTATAAAAAAATCAATAAAAAGACAATAGTCAGACTTGTCAAATTATTTCTTCCCAATTTGCACTCAAATAGAGAATTTTTTTTCTGATAAATATACTTACTAATGTAGAATTCTTTACTATAACTTCCACAATTTGTAAACACATTTCAAAAACCTTTATGGTTGGTATACCACCAACAAAATAAAAAATAATGATGTATTTTTGCAAGTGTAATGTTTTGGAAATTACAATATAAGAATTAATAAAGATTTTGGAAGAGTCTTTGTTTCTTCTTAGGTCTTTTTTAGAAATAAATTATTTTTTCACATAGTATTAGCATTAAATGCCATCTATAATATTTTGATTGATTAAATGAACTTCCTAAATTAAATTAAATTAAATAACTAGAACACACTCTATAATATCATCTAGTTTATTTTGAGACAATATCTAATACACATTTTATATAACTAATATGTTCAAAAACTAATCCCATTCATATTATTAATATGTTTAAAACTAGGAGGTGCATATATAATACTACTAAATCTTAATTTTTTCCTCTTCATATCTTCAAAAATTAAAAATTGTAGACATTGTATGTCCGTTCAATCAATATGGCATTTGCACCTTATTTCTTATTTGTGACAACTTCTTTTCTACTTAAAATCCATTTGGACTATAATTATATTTGTGGCTCTTATCACTATTGGTCAAAATTAGTCAAAATTCACTACAATACATCTGTTTTGTTATTATTATTTTATCAATTCACCACAACTTCTGAAAATTTAATAATATTTTTTCAAAATATTAAAGTCTGTAATAACATTATTTTGTTAGTTTTAATATATGATGGATTTTATATATATATATATATATATATCTAATAGTTAATTTAAGGAAATTCAATATTATTATATTAAAATATAATATAAATACAGTTATTTATAGATATTAAATCAATATTATTTTCTTACTGAAATTATATATTGTATCAAGTTTTCATTTCAAGTACATTTTTGACCGAAAAAACAATGTCAATTTTTAGTTGCAAAAATGTACAAGAGGTAATATATTGTATCAAATTTTCATTTCACAATTTCAAAAATGTACTTGAGAAACTCAATCAAGAGGTAATATACATGTATCAAATTTTCATTTCACAATTCATCTAGTTATACAAAAAAAGATTAAAACTAGCAAAAATAGCATTAAATCCCGAAATGAACTCTACTTACTTTCAAATTTTTTGCCTTAATTTCACAACTGAAATTTCCATAATTGTAAAAAATGTTATAAAAATCACCAAGATATTGAACATAACATATAAATTATACTAGATTCAAAATCACTATGTTATAATTGGAAATTCAACAATATTTGAAAAGTTTTATTTCTTTATCTTTTTATTTCATTTATTTCTCATGTTTTCATACTACCTTTCAGGATTCTACACTTGTCCCATGCGAGCCAAGTATTCTTCAGAAGTTTCGTTTGGGTGATTACAATGTGTTTCAAACCAAGAATAAAATGATTTTAAAAAGCCTTCTTTACAAACAAAAATCTGTATTAATCCATTACACCCATTAATTTCCACAATTAATTCTCTATGTCATCAACACAAAAACTAAAATTATTAGGACAATTCAAATGTAATAGTAGAACCGTTGGTTGGAAAAGTTAAGCTATACATGGGATTTAATAAGTTATAGAAATAAGTTAAGTCAAACCTAAATATCACAATTATTTCATTTAGTACATGTGCATAATACATTTATTTTTTTTTAATTTCTTAGAAACAAAATATTCATGTTAATGGGCATAACAAGTATAATATTTCTATATTGCTCACGAGGAATCTTTCAATATATTACCTCTTGATTGAGTTTCTGAAGTACATTTTTGAAAAAAGTGATTTGTGAATAATTCTTATGAAAATCAACTTTCAAGTATTTTAGTCTGAAGAAGCAATTAGTCATTCGGTTTTCTTTTAAAATTTGTGTATATCCACAATAAATGTAAAACTACATATCATGATGCAATTTTTAGTTTTGTGCAGTTTTCTGCTCTTTCAAAAAATTTAATTAAAAAGACACGGAAGCTTTTATTTTTCATTTATAAATTAATATAATATACTATTTAAATTTTTAATGCATGCTAAAATAAGATTCTATTGCTTTATTTTAAACATCATATTCTTAATATTGGTGTATGAATAAAACTATGCTTTTACTAGAGATTTGTATCCATTTTTTTAATAGAAAAACAACTCGTGTTGGTAAGTCTACCTTCTTCTTTTTTTTCTTTTTTTTTTTTTTTTTTTATTTTTAAACCTACGATACATGTTTGATGCTTTCATTGAAAATTAGGCCTAATGAACATAATGCAAATAAGTTTGGTTTGATGAAGATTAATTAAGAAAAGCGTTAGAAAGTTTGAGGATAAGAAAACAAAACCTGCTATACAGATCTGCTTTTCTGCTGATTGCATTAGAGTCAAATTCCTCTTCATGTTGCTCTTTTAATATTTTCTTAAGGAACATGCACATGACCCAAAAACTACATAATTTAAGTTGCTGTTTGCATGAGTTTTAATTTTTGTTTACATGTGAACCTTTTTCAATATTATGATGTAATATTTTGAAATTTTAGTTATAAATCTGGGTTTTGTGAATAAATAATATAACTTTTTTTTTATTTTAAATATTGTAACAAGGAATTTAGAAATGATTTCATCCTCTTTAATGTAACTTGAAATGTTTTTTTTAAATGCATGTCTGTGTGTGTATATGCATATGTATACAAACAATGCATGTTTGCATAAAAATTATCAAGACCTTAAAAATAAAGCATCAAGTCTTGAATACAATGATTACCTTAATGTTGTGTATATCTTGTTTTAAATTGTTGCTTATTTCACATAAATCTTTAACATGACATTTTGTAGTTCTATACAATTATCATGACAAAATTCAATTTTTGGAAGTTAACAATGAAACAAATTCACAGTGTGGCATATGCATTGCTTATAAATAAATATATATATATATATATATATATATATATAATGAGTTCTATTTTATACATCAAGTAGACCAAAGAAATTCTTTTTTTATTATAATTGTTATTCTTGTTTGTAGTTGTTGTAAGAACAATGAACCCCAACACTTGCTAATTTTGGTGTAATTTATGCAAAAAGAATACATGAGTTTATAAAACACTCTTGCAAAGTTTTGAATTAATAGAGAATTATCTTTGTAAGTGTATATGATTTTATAAAAATATGCTACCAATTAGACTATAATTTCATCAAGTTGACCACCCTGGACATCAAATTTGTGCTTGTGAACATATGAAAATCAACATGAACACATGAATACAATGATTTTTTAATGAAAATAGCTGGGAATTCTATCAAACTGTGAAAATTCACAATGATTCTATTTTTGCACTTAAAAAGTAAAAAAGGTACTTTGAATAATAACATTTACCTTAATTCTGTTTGTTTACTTTTTATTAGGCTGTCTTGTTGTTTGCCCATAACAGTTGTATGCTTATATTCCTGAAACTTCTGTGTATATATATATATATAATGCATGATATGAAAAAAATTGAGGTTTAATAGAAAAAAGCCTAAATTCTGTAATGTTTTTCAAAAGAACTATACATAAATGCACATACAAAAAAACACACTTAAGTTTATGATATGTATATATATATATATATATATATATATATACATACATGCACAATCATTTCGCTTCAAATAAATTCAAATAAATAAACAAAAACTTATTCTTATTGTAATATTACAACTCACATGGTTTCTGAAGCTACTTCCAGTTTCCCAAACATCATTCGAAGGATCAGCTTCTTTGTAATCCAGCATCAAATGACTGCAGTGGATTTCATCAGGACTTGGCTTTGATGCACTTGGATTATGAGGCCTTGCATGAGGTGGTGCAATACCCACATGAAAGCCCTATCCACACAAACACACACACACAACTAAAAAATCAAAATCAAACCAAATAAAAATTAAGAATTATATATATATATATATATATATATATATATATATATATATATATATATATATATATATATATATGTGTGTGTGTGTGTGGGTGGGTGTGTGTGTATATGTGTGTCATCCTTGATAATTTCAACTGTTCAAGATTCAATATTTGTACATTATGTAGAAATCCCTAAACAAAATTATCATTCTATTGTATGGATGTTGTGATACATTACTTTATTAGATTCGATTACATAATACTAAATTTTGTATGCTATATCATTATTTGAATGCATACAGTTGATGATTATATATATATATATAAATACAACAACAACAACAACAATAATAATAATAATAATAATAATAATAATAATAATAATAAACAAAAGAATTATAGCTATAAAAACTATTCTTAAAATTTAAATTTATAAAATCCTTACAAGGTTCAATTTTCAAGGTTTTGAATCTTTAGAATCTAGATTTTGAGAGACCACTCGTTGTAAAACCATGAGAGTTGCGTTGCTTACCTGATTAGTTAATTCACCCACACCAGATTCTGTTTCTTGTGGTTCTTCAATTGGTTCAACCAATCCATGTTCACTAAGCACTTTTTCCAGCTGCATGCTTTTGCCTTCGTAATTACTTAATATTCGTGTACATAGACATGCAATTAATATTCATTATACAGTATTCAGGTTTGAAAAAGAATTGAACATACATAGTTGATGAGTGGACCAATTGAGGATAACTGCATTGTACAATGTTTTCCTGTACTTACTTTAGCTCGCAAAGATACTTGAGACTCCTTGAATAGAGAGAATAATTCTCTAACCTGTGTAAGAAACAACACAAGTTGCTTATGAATGTTAATTCACTACACTGAATTATATTTGATACAAAAACGCAAGTTATAGGAAAGATTATGAAGTCAAATGTAAACAAACTGTATGTTGGTATGTGTTTGTAGACACATATGTATATATGACAATGCTGATATCTTTGAAATTGTTCCATTACAATATTGTATATTATAATATTATTTAATGACCTGCTTTTGGTTATCAATAGGAATTCTCTCAAGTTCTCCATCATTTTGCAAAAAATCTTGAATCGTCTCTCTCAGTTTACCCTTCACTTCTCCCCTAAACTCATCATGTTAAATAATTAAAACTTGATATGACTATCAATTGGAATAGCACATGTTTATATCCTTACATCGCTTTGTTTATGGATAATTACGTACAAGATTACATAGATTACTCATAATAAACCCAATAAGGCCACGGTGAAGCTCATGTTATATCAAGTTTTTTTGTTTTGTTTTTGTTTTTATTTTATGATGTACAATCTTATTGTGATTAAACGTAGATAATATAAGCAGTGATATGTACAACAATTGACCTGTTTGAGTAATTGAATCCTATTCTCTACATAAATGTCTTGAAAAGCACCACTTACATGACACTATGTGCTTAAATCATCAAATAAAACTCATGCAACCAATGCAAGTTAAATACTTCCAAAGTGTACTGAAAAGAGTATGATGTGAAGGACAAGAGAGTGTACAAAGTCTTTACGTTAGATCATCGAAGGACAAGCCCGGTCGTCCCTGCAAAGCATCTTTGAGAGCTAATTCTTGCTGAAGATTGGCAATTTCTTGTGCGTGCCGTCTGGTTGAATTGCACAAGCACAGAATGAGAAAGGTTAGTAACCACATGATTTGTGCAAATTCGGCTACATAAACTGGAACTAACTTGAGCTACTGAAAAAATTAGAACATCAATCACGGCATGACGCACATCATCTCCATGGATTCTGATGTAAAACCTTTCATTTAGAACACAACAATCTATCTTTTTATTGTGGATGGAGAATGTCCTGAGAACCTTCAATCTTTGAGCAAACCTCGATGCTTTGATCTGTACAACAACCACGACATTGATATTTAAGTCGAATACGGATGGGGTAACATCTCAATTTAGTGATAAGTGCTTACAGAGGCTGTCAATTAAGATTGCTTGAAATCTTCTTCAAAGCTATGGAGGTGATTGGAGGCACAAAATATTTACGGCTGTGAGTTTTAAGGTTCTGACGACGTACTGTCTCATCCAAAAAGTACTCTTCGGGCCACAAGCAAAGAATCAACTCTGTTCTGCAGTTTCCACTCAAAGCTTCTTTGAGGATTATGGAGATTTTACTCTGCCGAAACGGAACATATTCTTGGCCTTGCTTTATAGCATACACTGCCTGAGTTTTGAAATAAACGTTTGAATGAAGGTGAAAAACAATTTTGAGCTCTGATGACTTCCAAAACGAACCATTCGACTGAAGACTGAACATGGAAACTCAAACTTTTGTAGAGAAAACTCAGGCTCAAACTCAGGCGTCAAGTGACAGAAACTGAATGTTTCAATTTCACTACTTATTGCATGAGTAGATCCTTTGAAAGTAATAATTTTGAAACCCACAAGATATTCATGACGTCAGCGACAAAAAACTCTGAACAAACACGACTTGTTGAAAGAAAATTACTGCATGACCCGGGAGTTAAATTGTGCCATTGTGCAGTATGGAAAAATGAATACATGCCTGCTCGAGGAGACATAGGGACTTGTTGATGGAACATGCTTCCACTCTCATTCGGCCTCCTGTGCTTGTATTGGTCTTCTTCAAGCGTTCAAATCCAGCTAAATCCACCAGATTTAGCTTGGCAACTACAGTGTCGTACTCAGTTTTAAATCTTCCCACTCTTTTCTCCATGCAGAGAGTGAATATGGTATGAGATCTGCTAGATACCTGTCCAAAATTAAGTATTGTATATCAAACATGAAATACTAGAACGAAAATAATCTTCCGGTGGGTCGATGAGGAGGAAATAATGTCCACAACATCACACAAAGAGCACCACAAACTCTAAGCAAAACTTCATGAGGTACGCAATATATGCAACAACGAGTGAACATTGTTTTTTTCCCATCAACTGGGCAGTCTTATGCACAGTGTTATGTGATGTTCGGTGCTGTACCCCCACTACAACAAACATTTGACGAGACAAAATGTAGCAAAACAAGTTTGGAATTCCGAGTTACCTGATTGATTTGGTGACATGCGTAAGACCTTTGTTTCTCCCCTTCACTGAAACACATCAGTGCCTGTGCTTCAGTTTCAACTGGAATTTTAGCAAGACCTCTGATATATACATAGCCACTCTCCTCAATAATCATCAAATCCTTGCTTCTCTGGTTCAAAAGGTCATACATGCCCTGACGTTTGCAATTCCTGTTTCATGGTTAGCCACTATACTTTTGTCGAGCACGGACTTCTGACATAATGTTTACACAAAGTGCTCGACTCAACCTGCCCATTAGAATACTAGGCTAATGACTTTGGCTTCATGCTCATGTTTCCTAACAGCAGTACAGGAACGTGTAGATATATACCTCTTGATATATTTCCAAATAACTTATGTACAAAACAATGCCAGAACCAGGATCTGCTTCCTTTTCCTCGAAGATCTGATGAATTGCTCGTGCGATGAATCCTCGATGTGCATTGACCTTCCATTCCAGATGTCGGATGGTAAACATATCAAGGGCTAAAATGCAGAGTTTTTCACCTCAAACTACAAATGAAGCTCTTGTCATACTAACGTTCTAACAATTACTGAATAAGGTAATCGGCAACTGACATTGCGCCAAAGGCATTAAATTTTCATTCAGCACTTCTCTGCCTATTTATGCAAATTGGCCGTGTGTCACAAAATTCAATCAAAATGCTTTTGTGAACAAGCACCAATGGAGCCCCAATACATCTACCTGAATACACAAAGTATGCATCAAATCAACTTTCGATGTTACCTTCATGTCCCCTGCCATTGTATAAGTCTTCCCAGACCCAACTTGACCATATGCGATAAACGTGGCATTGTATCCTTCCAAGAAATCCTTCACTAGCGCCCTTCCACATGACTCGTAGACTTCCGATTGATCTGTGCTCTGAAGACCACACCACCAAAACAAAAATTATCTCCACAAGATGCTTATTTTAAACCTGTTTCCTAAAATACTATCTACTCCTCGCGTGTCATATTGATAAGCTGCATACTCTCACCACTGAGCTGCAAAAAGAACACCTTTAAGGTCCGTTTTGGGACATGTAAAGGTCCGAAACACTCCGTGTCTGAAATAATGTCCCCGAGGTCAATGATTTCATATCCTTCAGCATCAGAACGCTCCTCTCGAATTATGTGGCGAGTGTGTCACCATATCGCTCTGCGTTGCGATCATCAGTGAAAAGGATCTTCCCACTCAGGAGTGCTTAATCGGGTAGGATCGCTCATTTAATTATTCTACTTCCAAGCCCTTCGAGTCCATCAATACGAGACTCCAGTATAATTACATATACGTGATGTCAATACCTAAGCAAAGTTGAACCCTCTCAAACTCGTCCCACTATGCATGAGGTATCTCAGCAAAGATGGTCATGGGTTTTAAATCTCAAGTAAAAGACCAATCTTCATGTCTCTGACGTTTACAAAACCCATTTCCTTACACATGACTACTGTAGTCATTTAGAAGATACTTCCCGACTTGAGTTACAGACGTAAGTCAAATTGGGGGCGGATTACCATGACAAGCATAACCACTAAAAATTCTGTGCCCTGAACGAGAACCCTAAATGTGGAGGAGGAATGAAGATCCTGACCTGAGTGATGCTATTTACAGAGAAAGCAATCTGGTCAACAAAACTTTCTGGGGCTCCCCCACCGTTCTGCTTCAGCAAATCAATCAGAACGGTATTCGTCTGGTCTTCGATGTGAAACATTGGAGAGGGCTTTGCAGTTGGTCGTATCCTGACATGGACCTTGATGCCGATCGACGACAAGGGTTCACCAGAAGGCATCTTTCTCTCGATTCCTTCCTCAGGGTTTTAAAATTGCTGTATCCTATCAAGCTATTCCAAATGGTAGCCCGACCTGTTTCTCAAGTCCTCTTTATCAACCAGAACAGGTTCACAAATTGACATTTACTGATCCATAAGGATAACAACACAAGCTCTTCTCAGCCAACAGTATACATCAAGGGCTCTTGAATCACGCAAGGAAATGAACTACAACAACAGGCCTTCGAAGACGACTCCGCAACTTATCAGAAATTAACAAGTTGGGCTCTGCTTGCACCGAATCAAGACAGAAACTTGGACATGATAGAAAGCTGCAAAACAGGGGATTTTGAGTGTGCATGAGATTTTGCTAAACATGGGTTGCAAACAGGAAATGTGCAAATGCCAACAACGATTCCACAAATTCAACTTGTGCATAGATTGTGCCTCGAATCGCATCGTTTCCGGATTCGCCAAGGAAACCACGAAATCACCGACATGGAATCTGTGCTTGCCACGCCCCTTTTCGAACTTGCTCTGCAAAAAAATTTAGTTCATGATTTTTTTATTTCACGTGCATATTTGTGCATACGAATTTTATCAAGTAAAAAAACAGCCTCACATTGTACCTAAAGCTTGGCGCATTTAGCAATCAATATATGTTTACTAGAGCTTGTTGTGATTGCTTTCTTTTTCAAAGCAATTAAGTGTATTAATGTCCTAAATATCTTAACAAGCAAGCAATCACTAGTGTGAATGAATAGTATATAAGATTGTTTGTTTTAAAAGTGATTTTTTTTTTTGGAATAAGGGAATATTTATTTTTATTTTAACTATGTTGCCATGGAATTCAAGTGCTAGTAATAAATAAGATATCACGTTTAATATCAATATTTTGGTAAAAGAATATTGGATTTAGATTTTTTTTGGTTAAATAAAAACAAAAAAAACAAACTAACAAACAGTTATATAAAATATTCTTTTTCATATGTTAGAAACCTCGTTTTTTTTAATATTACTTGATATCTAATATACAAAAAATGATAATAACAAATAAATATAATTAAAATTTTGGCATATTCTTAAATCTTTTGCTTAATCATGTAACTATACTCTATTATACATTATGATAGTATATTATCTCAACTATGTAAAGGTACAATGCTAACTGTCAAATTGCAAATCTAAAAAGACATCTTTCAATTTTATCAAGAAGTTTATTGATAATTTTTTCAAACAATCTTCTAGTCTCTATCAAAAAAAAAAAAAAAAAAAAAAAAAAAATTGTACATAAATTTAAAATTATTTCTTCAGCATATTTATATGTATGGTATCTATTATATAAGACAACTTGGATAAAGAGAACAAAGAGATAAAGAAATCTTCTAATTGGTTGTGAAGAAGATGACATGGAAAACAGAGCCCAATGGCATGGATATCCGCTAGTATAATACAGCATATAAATCATTATTATAAAATAATAAGAATAAAAAATGACAATAGTAAAAATATTTTTATTCCAAGGATAAATTAAATTTTACATGAAAAGAACTTTGATTGTCTTAAAGATAAGAGATTTATCTTCTATTGATTGTCTTTATACAAAAATTTTGACCAAATTCTATAAAATATAAGTAACCATAATTTCTCCAACAAAACATAAATATATGTCTAATATAAAATTATGCATAAAAAACTAATAAATTATTTACAAGTAATAAATTAAAACATGTAAGTTTTTTTAAAAAATATATTTTATTTAACAATCAAAATCATCTAATAATAATGTTCTATTTAAAATACACAATCTATAATATGTACTAAACACATCTTTGATGTTTGAATGTAAAAAACTTTGAGATAAAATCAAAAGGGAAGAAAATAATTCAAAAATACAATAACATTTAGTTTACATAAATTTCTTGTGTAATACTCTTGAAACATGATTAAATTTTGCTTTACAAAATATAATCTGATAAAATTCTCTTATAAAACAGGTTCAACCTTGAATTTATACGTCCATAAATTATATATTTAGAATGGATTTTAAAATGAAATACAGATTTTGTATTTTGATATAAATACACATATATTTTTTTGAGTAAAAATTATCTAACAATGATAAGAATATATTTTTTCAAAAAATATTATTCACACCAAATTGTCAGTCATTATGTATATGTTTTATTTTATTTTAATTATTCTATTGTGATATTATCACTTTTTTAGAGTTATTTTTTTATGCTATTTTGGATATTTTAAGATTTTAAAGATTATCATCTTTACTTCATTATATATATATATATAGATAAGATTTTATGCTATATGCATATTCTTTAGCTATTCCTAGCTCCCTCTCCACAATTAGACCCTCTCTCTTTTATTACAAAAGAATCACAACTCCAAAAACAAACTATAGAAATAAAGCATGAGAGTGAGAGAAAGAGAGAGCTAAATGGAATCCATTGCAAAAGAGTTCCTAAACCAAATCTTTAAAATCCTTAAATAAGACACTAACTCATGATAAAAAAAAGTGTCATTAAGATTTAGGGCAAACATGACTTGAAGAGCACAAACCAAACAACACAACTTGGGGATAAAAAACATTGTTAAAAATAAGGAATTGTTAGATTAACCTAGGCATTTACTAAATTGATGCACTTATCATCATTGGTATAGGATCCAACCATTTTTCATTGGTTTTAAACCAATGCAAATCTAGCAATGGAGATTTTTTTGATGATTATTACAATGGTTGGATTAATTTAGTAAATACTTGGGTCAATTTAACAATTTCCTAAAAATATCACACGAAAGTACATCAATGCTATACATCCATCTCCAAGTACAAAGAGCTCATGGTATATCTCATTAGAATCGTCACCTCCCTCCCAAGTATGTACACAACACTACTTACAAATTACATACAATACTCTACACCCAAATACATACAAATACAATACATAAATTACATATAGTATGATGCACCCCAAATACACGTAGAATACGCACAACACATCCTCAGCAGGCTTAACTGCCGTCGTGAAGCAGCGGCCATTATCAACAACAGCAGGCCTTTTCGTAGCCCCATAAACCCCATAAACCCTGCTGAATTCGCGCTACTGAGATTGCTGGAGTGGATTTTGGTCACTTCCATTGTTTCAGTTTTTGATGCAAATAGGGTTTGCGTTATGGGTTTAGCTTTGATTCTTGTGAAGCGTTCCTTTGCTTTGGGTTTATAGAGAAACACAGCTTCATAGTTTGTGGTGGTGGTGGTGCTTTCGCTTGATATCCACCGTCATCGTCTCTAGCTGGTAGGGCCTCAATTTCAGTTTTGCATTTCTGCTGTTCTTTTGTTGACGATTTGACATTGCTGTGTGGTTTTTTTCATTTAGTGTTCCACACCGAGTTATTCTGCTTTCTTTGTAGAATAGTCTGGCATTGTTTTTTCCTGAGGGAATTCTTGCATTGTAGCAGCGCTTTTAATTTTTTTTTAAAATTTGTTTTTGTTTTTATTGCAATGAACCCACTATTGCTCTGCCACTTGCGATTCGTTATAACGTCTACATTTTCAGTAGAGACTCTGCCGCTGGTCTCTCTTTGAGCTTCTGTGGTCACCTTATTTTTGTTGTTTTACTCCCGCTGTGTACCACAATTGTCTAATACCACTAGGTACTTTGCAGTGGTGTAGATTGGTTGGTGAGAGTTATGGATGCTGCGGTGGCTTCCTGCAGCTCATCCTTGGCTGTTTCACGAGGACATCCCCTTTGTTTTCATGCCGCTCGTCCCGAAAGAATTGATTTTGTAAGTTTGTTACAGTTCGTGCAGAACTGAATTCTCTCTGTCGAATTTTCTGCTCTATGATTTTTCGTACTGTATGCTTGGTGCAACGTTTTGGATACTTCGAGAATGAGGTTTTTGAATTTCATCTGATGGTAGTCTTCTAATCTCAGGGTTTCTTTTCTCCTGCTTGACTTTGGTACTGGCAAGTGGGTCTTTATAGACACAATGTGAGTTGTTTTGTTACATTGACTTACCTGGGTAATCCTAAACCTGGACGTAGAGACCTCAAGCAGTTCCTTGTCGAAATGGTTTGGGATTCAAATTGACGGCTTCAAAGCCTCTCTTCACAAGGAAGACTGTGGTTGCGTTGGCCACGGAATCGGGAGATTCAACTGCCGATGGAAGTGATTCGGCAGTCCAACCTAGTCGGAAGAAAAAACGCTCTAAAAAGGCCAAGATTAGCAAGGGCTCTTCTGGTGGTCATGAAGAGGGAACTGACGAGGAAGAGTTGGAGGGCTGGGATTTTTTTGGAGAACTAGAGGAACTCATTGCAAAAGGTGGTCCAGAATTAAATGAACCTGGGGGAGTAATGTCTGAGCCAGGCATTTCGGACGGTAAGGTACCACTTACTTCTGAACAATGTACAAATATATTTCATTTATCTTATGACAGTTGGGTCATTTATGAGGTCACAACATCAGAGGTTCGTTAATTATCTTCACTGGCGTGGACGAGATTCTGGAGATGATTTCATGTGGTTTTTATTTCCAGCCTTGTGAAATGAAGCCAAGAAATAGAGTGAATGTAAAGAGGTAGCTTTAACACTGCCTTATTACGAAGGTAGATGCTTTTGTTACATCTTGAAAACAGAGGTTTGTGAACCTATGAGCCGTAGTTTCATGGGGATTGAAGATTCTGCGTGTTCAGTCGAAATTGAAGATCATGGGAGTTTTATCCTTCTTTGCCACATTCTATGATATATTTGTGCAGTGGGCATTACCATGAGGAGTACCAACATCAATATCCCATTGTCTCCGAGAATTACTCTGGGGACAGGGGCAGCTAGCCGTTCGATTGGAGGTCGACGTGGGAGTAAAGAACGCAATTCAAGAGAACAGAACAAGAGTGCTGATATAAACAAAGACGACGATGACATTGATTGGGACAATCCAAAATATCAGCAGAAACCAGACTGGATGCATAAAGAAGTCTGGCAATCTTTCCTTGAGCAGAGTATGAAGTCTATATGCACTTGCTCATGTGGGCTGCAAATATGAAACCTTCTTTTGTGGGATAAAAATACAGCAGTGTAGTTTGAATGGTGTAGTTTCGTATCAAAGACACAAGACTGAATGCACTACTGGTTGGTCTTTCAGAAGCAGAAGAAGATGACGAAGAAACACCACTGTGGATGGAGGAAGAGGATCCTTCATGGCCTGATGAGGCTGACGATGGATGGGGCTTCAGGACATCTCAGTTTTTTGATAAAGTTACTATTAAGAATAACTCAACTGACGAAGATAATGACGACGTCGATGACGAGGACAAGATTGATTGGGAGGCTGAAATGGACGACGGAATTATTAAAGAAATTATTACCGCTGAGTGGGAAATGCATGTCTTTGCTACTCCCAGTCCCTTGGTAGTGTACGTGTTCGCTAGATATGGCCCCAGGTTGGTTATATCTCTTTCTCCTCTGCTTTTTGAGTTCAGTTTTAAAAGTTATTTTGATATAGAGAGTGGGAAGAATTGGATGTTGAGGACGCGGAGACCACTTTTGTCATGGGCATATGCACTAGATTATTTTATCTTTATTTTAAGCTTGTTATTATTACTTGCTCAAGTTCAGTTTCTGCAGCCAACTGATCAGAGGTTTACTTGTAAAAACTGGAGCATCGTATTCTGTTAAGCTTTTCAAATAGTAGCGTGGGACATTGTAGTGTTATTATGATCCCTCTCTTCTCTGTAGCCTCTTTAAGTGTATTGAAAAAGTAGTTTATGTGGCTTTTAGGAGTCTGGACTCTTGGAAAACATTAGCGGAACTGCAGAAGGCAGTGACGTCAATCTGGGAGTCGGCCAAAGCTCCTCTCCGTGTGAGTGACCTCTAAACCTTTCCTTTAACCGTTGAAGTTTTCTGTTGGTCAATTATTTAGGATAAGTTCTGTACATTCTCGTTGATCCTGCTTTGACAACTTATCATTCACACGATTATGGGAAAGTGGCCTTTTACCTTTAGTGGTAAACAGATATTTTGAGTGAAATAGCTATTGTTTTTCTATTGTCGCAAAATGCATAACACCAAGTAAGAGATATTCGTTGTCAGATCATTTTTACTTGCAATCGGTGGTAATGTTTAAAATGTCTTGTTTGAACATTTGGAATGTTTGAAAGGATTATTTGGAACCTTCCTGTCCTGCAGGCCAAGCTGTTGTAGGCTACTGAATGTTATGATGACCGTTCTCTTCATCTGTTGCTTTTTATAGCTGGAAGAGTGTTTTCTTGATATAAGGTGAAGTTATTGGTTTTGTGCGTCATTGCTGGTTCATTAATTAACTTAAAGTTGTGTTCATGTCCAAGCAGGCTGTGAAAATAGACGTTGGTTTGGAGGTTGACCTTGGGACTGCTCTCAACATTAAACCAGATGATTGTCCACAAATCTTGTTCATCAAGAATGGGAAAGGTTTATATAAGCTTGAAGGTATTTTTTTCACTCAACTCTTCTTTGCGTATATTTTATGCTCAAAACCCTTGATAGAATACGTAGGGGATGTTGTACTGAAGGTTCGATCTTTCTGTTTAAGACGTTTCCGTCAGCTTGTGTAGTTGATCTCTTCCTGATTGTAGATTTGGAAATCTCTACAATCAAGAAGCATCTTCACATACTACGTGTAGCAGTTTTAGGCAACCCGTGTGTAGCAGCTTGCTGATTGCAGATATTCCCAAGTAAAACTTGTTAATAAACGCGTAATACTTAGGAGTCTTCTACAGATCACAGAGAAATTGATAGCCTTACTATGTAGACTAAGATCTATGTTGCATTTGTTTTTGTTCGCAGAGAAAAGAACATCAGAGGAGTTGGTGCAACTTATTACACATCTCTTTTACAACGGTGCTCAACCATCTTTTCTAAACTCTACCCGTAGTTCTGCTGTTAATGTAAAAGGTCTATCGTGGTAGTGGACTGACCTGGCGAAGCTTGACCTCTTGGAAAACTAGTGGACGTGGCAAACTGCGACCAAGGTTGGGCCACATTATTAAGGAGTTTTTTTATAAATATGCTTCAGTTTAGGCTTTAGTAAAAGCAAAAATTTTCTTCAGCTTCACGAATATGATACACGTCGACTCATTCTGAGATTATTGCGGTTTTCTGGGCATATCGGGAAGCCTGAGGTCCTTTGTTACGTAATCAATATGAGTCACATTTGTGTACACCATATAACTTAAGTCGTCATGCGTTGTCATTAAAGTATAAATCTTGAAGGTTTTGTCTTTGTATTTAAGCTCAATGAGCGTGGCAACCTCGAGAAGACTCTACTTTTTTCAACAATGAAGTCGTGGACCCAGGGGATTAAATGTTTTCTAAAGATATTGTTTGGAGCTGCATTGGGAGTGTGCAGTCCCTAATTTCTTGCCCAACCCTTAAACGCTGTCTCAAATTCAGGTGTGAACCCTGATTTAGATTTAGGGTTGAACGGCGTTTGTGGTTTTATCTTCCCATTGGTAGAATCTTTATCTCTCCCCCATTATATTTCAATTAATTAACCTTTTGGATACAATTGCAGTAGCAAACATGTGTGGCTTATTTCACTATAAATGGTTTATGAAGTGATTTTGTATTCAAATTCTAGTCTTGGTTATTCATAAAAGATGAGTGGGAATCATTGCTCTTTCTCTCTCTCTCTCTCTCTCTAAATCTATATATGGAATTTTATGTTTATCAACAGTAATGAGGTGTGGTCTTCACATCATTGGATCTTTCTTTCATTGTTGAAGAATCTTTGGCCTGATTTTTATAAGCTCATTGGTCATTTATGGATCCTTCAAAACAGAAGAATTTATTTTATTTATAAATGTCTTCGGTGTTGTGGTTTTAAAAGTGTTAAGCAAAACAAAAAAGGAAATTATTGAAATTTAAAAAATACAATTCTGTTGCTGATGGCTTTTGAATATTGTTCATGTTTCAAGACTACATAAAATTTGTTAAATTTTTACTACAATTGAGTATTTCTTTTATCAATTGTAGTAGATAAATAAATAATGGTTTACAAGATATGGTTGAAAAATTTAATGTGCTTGGGAACTTAAAAAGTAGTTATATATTCTTTCATAATTTGAAAAATAAAGGCCATAGGAAAGAATATCATTTAAATTGTTGAATTTACTACAAAAATGTTAAAAAAAATCATGTTCATAAATGGTAGTTGGAATTTCAACATATAAAATTGTATTAAGATGTACCTTTAGTTAAATTGATCCAAGTCAAACATAAGAGAAAGAATTAAGAATGAGTATAAATGTATTTTTCATTAAAAGCAATCTTGTGTTATAAGCTATTGAATTGATAAACATGCTAAATGACATTTAAAAATTAAAGCATTAAATTGAGATTGTAGAAAAAATTACCAAATAATGTAAGAAAGTTAATTATGTTTTTTTTTATAATAAAATTTGTATATGTAATTAAATTTAATGAGATTTCTATTTTATTAAATATAATCAATATCAATGTTAATTAGCTAAATATACATTTGAAATTTAATAATAAAAATATAAATTAATAAAAAATTATTAAAAATATATATACATATGCATAAATTATTATAAAGAAGCCATTGATCTAAGATTGTAATACTTGAATCTAAATCAAAAATTACTTGGCATCACAGACAATTAAACCATTCTAATTTGAATTAGAGATTTTTTTCATCAATACACTATATAGAAGACCAAACAAGAAATTGAATAGAAGAATTTTAATAAGAAAGTTAGCATGAACTTAATTAAACTAGATGAGTATAAGATCAACACCAAGAGAAGTAAGTTAGAACTCTAAGATACGTATTATTGAGATGAAAGATCTTCTTAGCCTCTATTCCAATACATATTAGATATTAGGAAGCTTCTTGAGAAATTTTTATATTGCTTAGAGACAAAGAAATCTTAGGATCTTTCTTAGACAACTTCCTTAATACTCCTAGAACTTTTTAGAATTTGCTAGAATATTTTAATATCCTTTTAAATCTTTTAAAGTATTCTAAGAATCTTTTTAGAATATTCTATTGAAACATTTTGAAAACCTATAGAATCTTTTATTAAAATATTTTAAGAATACAATAGAACATTTTAAAAATATTTCTAAAATCTTCTTGTTCGATGTTCATAACATCACCTCTTGTTTTAACTTTGAGTTCCACAAAGAGTATCGATTTCACATCTATAAGAATTTAAGGATTTATTGGATAATAGTTGCAATATATGTTGCACATTGATTTCTACTCAAAAGATAGACTAGTCTACTCATATAGCAATAATGGCCATCTTTATTTTCTTGTGGAAGACCTATTCATTGAACTTAGTTAGCATTAAGGCCTTCAAAATATCCATAAAAAGTGACTTCAACTCCATTAGATTCTAATTCATCAACTTGTAATAGAATGATTAAAGCTCAAGCATCATTTTAGATTTTTTATTTTATTTGAGTTAATTATAGAATATGCGTTTCTTCCCTTGAGAAGGTCCAACTTCATTTTGAGGATGATCTTATGAAGGTTGCAAGAGTTGGAATGATTAATTTGGTAGTTGAGATGAGGAAAGCTCTAGCTTTGGCTCTATTTGAGATTCATAATCTAAAGACTCTCTAAACACTCTCTAATTTAACATATTGGATCATAAACTACATATACTAAACTCTAAGGTTGTTATGACCAATATCTATTTTATTTTTATTTATATATATATATATATATATATATATATATATATATATATATATATATATATCATAGTAGAAACTTAATAGAGAAGTCATCCTAAAATAGGTTTAGATTTTTGAGGATAGCATCAATGAAACTCTTATATCTTTTAGAATACATTAATTTAATTTTTTGTTAATTCTCATAACCATTCATTGATATCGTAGCCATGCTAATGAATAAAGTACTTTGACTTGTCTCTTCTTTGTCAAGAATCAGGGATTTTTTCTATCTCATATTCCATATGATTATGTATTTCAATGCAAGGCAATAATGGTTGTATTCTTATTGGAATAGTTGATTCTATATAAGCCTCTAAGAAAAAAAACATAAAAGATTGTATGTACCTTTATGGATGTGTATAGTTTCAACTAATAAGCTATTGGATTGATTTGCTTTTGAATACAAAATGGCTCCAATCTTGAATAGTCTAACTTATAGCAAAGTTGATTAATCTTGATATTTATTTGAAAAAGTCATATTTTATCTCTAACTTGAAAAGCAAAGAATTCTTTTTAATTCATCTAAAGATTCTTTATAAAAATCTTGGATTGCTTGTAAATGAAGCTTCAAAGTTGTCTAGAATTGTGACAATTATTTTGCAAGATCTTTAGCTTTTGGATTTTCATCTTTTGATATATCTAATAAATTAAGCTTTGAATAGTAATCATAATTGGCATAAAATAGTGTTTGTTGAGTCAAAGCATGAAGAATATTATTATAAGCAAACTTCATTAAAAATAAATACAAGGTCCAATCATCTTGTTGATAGTTGATGGCATATTACAAATACTACTTTAGAACTTGATTGACTAGTTTTTATTCAATCATCAGTTTTAAGATGAAAGATAGAGAAAATTTTGATATCTACCTTCAATATTTCAAAAAAGGATTTTCAAAACTTCAATAGAAATTGAGGTCCTTAGTCAAAAATAATATCATCACATAAGCTATGATATCAATATATATATTATCAAAAAAGAGCCTTGTTTTTTCTTCTACAAGAAATATCTTTTTGTATGGGATAAAATATACATCTATTTTGGTGTAGATCTTAGCTTAACTAATTTGCTTCAAAAGCCTTCATATCAGTAATAATGGATAACAATTCTTCACCAATATTTTGTTGAAGCCACAATAATCAATACACATTTGCAAAGATCCATCTTTTTTCTTCACAAAAAGTATTGATGCATTGACTAGAAATTTGAAATATCAAATAAAGTTCTTTGTAAGATTTTTGTCAATGTAATCTTTCAATGTTAAAATCTTATTTTATAATAGATTGTAGATTAGGCCAAATAGTAGTTGAATCCCTTTTTGAAGATTGATGGATCAATTATATGATTAATGATTTGATAATATGTCAATATTTTTTTTTAAAGACATCTTAAAACTCCTTATATTGCTTTAAGATAACTACTAGCAAGCTTGTTTCTTTATAAATTGGAATTGTATAAATGACAAATGAGATTTCTTTTTTAATTGACTTTGTAAAAGTCCTTGCTTCAAAAAATAAAAGCTTTGTAATTGACGACTTTTTGATAAGTTATGTCTAAAAAAATTCTATAGAAAATTCAATCTTATAAAACCTCCAATCTATAGATGAATTATATTTTTTTAACCACAAAAGTTCTAGGATGATATAATTGAATGGAATTCTAATAATAATAAATATTATTTTGCTATTATGGCCATCAATATGATATTTCTAATAATATGGTCTCAAAAATAATATTGCTTGAAAATAAAGGTCGACCATCTATTACTTCTACAAATTTAAGTTTTGACTTCTAGAGCAATTTTATGAAGTTTGAAAAACTTGTCAAAAACAAAAAATAAGAAAATGCTCTTAAATCTAATAAGACATTTTTTTAAAGTTTTTGGAAGCTAAAAAATAAATGTATAGTAAAAAAATGAGAAAATTGAATAAAGAGAGAAAAAGAGATCTTAATAAATTTGAGGTGTTGGAATGTCTAGTTGTACAATCCTTATTATGGTTGAGCCTCTTTATTTTCCTAAGTGATTTCATTTTTAGTCCTAATTTTATATTTTTTTTGATATGATTACGAATATATATAATAATTATAATATATATATATATATATTATTAAATAAAAATATGTAAAAATAGATTTAATTTATAATATTTTCAAAAAAAAGCTTTTTAGAAGCTTTATAGATGTTGCTTCAACTTTATACGTATTTGTAGTTGATTAAAAGGTTAGAAACTTGGTCAACAAGTTAACCACATATTGGTAGCTTATAGAAAAATTAACCACGTATTAGTAGCTTGTAGAACAAGCTAATTATATAGTATACATATAAAAAATTTACCTTTCAAGTTAAGATATTGTCAAGAATAAGAACTTAATGAAAGCAAATAATCAAGTAAGACTTTTTTTTAAAGAAATATGAAAAAATAGAAATAAAAAAATATGTATATTAAAAAAAAACTAAAATGGCTATTGCCAAAAAATAAGAAAATTAAAGACTCTTGAATTTAGACTAAAATAAAGAA